GAAACCTTGTTTGTTCAACCTTTCATAATTTTAAATAGGTTTGACTTTTCATTTGTAATTTTCCAAAAACTTTTCCATTGGGGTCGCTGACTTTGACGGTTTGGGATATTTTTTAAAAACAAAAAATTTTTTTTAAAAAAAATACATATCTGCAAAGCATTCAAAGTGAATAACCCAAAGAAAAAATTGATCAGAATTGATCTTTTCCGCAACCTCAACCAACTTTTAGTTAAAGATAATTCACTTTTTTTTTAAAAACCTCACAGCTTAAAAATATAACTGGGGAAAAATCTATTTTTAACGGTGTGGGGTTTTTACTGGGGTTTTCCATGTCGACCATTCCCGCAATAGTAAAACATCGAAGGCGTGCATAATGGTGAAATTTATAAATAGGGGGTTTTTTGGAAGTTTTTTTTTAAAACTCCCCAAAAATCCCTCCAGGGGGCGTGCACCGCGGAAATGCAACGGAGGTCAAGGTCAATCATCTCAAGACCAAGGTGATTGGTTGCCCTTTTCGTATTACTCTGGAGGTGACTTTAATAACCCGTTTTTTTTGCGTATCGGAAGTTGACCCTTGCCAGTTTTGCGTCCCCTTTACCACCAACGAACGAAAAACACCGGGAAAAGGGGGTTTTGAAAAACTCCCGATTCTAAACTCGGAATAGGTTTTTTCCCGGCCCCGAGTATAAAAAATTTTTAAAACAACAACTTTTATTGAAAACAAAACAAAAAAAAAACAACACATTTTTTGAGTTTTTTTTTAAGTGGTAAAATGAAAACGAAATTCCTCTTTTGCCCCCGATTAATTTTTTGAACATAAACATATAAGTTTTTTTATTTATTTTTCAAATAAAAATAATCACTTAGCGCCCGAAAAATCGTTTTCAAAAAAATTTCGTAAATATTTGAGAATTTCCCAAATGCAAACTTAATCATTTGATAAAATTGCGTTTTTTTTGTTTTTTTTTAAGCCTCTTATTTTTTTAATATTTTTTTTATTCAAAAATCTGTATTTAAAATTTAATTTTTTTAAAACATGGATCAAATTTGATGCGGTCCAGAATTTATAAAATTTTTTAAATTACACAAACGGGAAAACATTATTTTATTTAAGACGATCTTTTCGCTTTCTTAAATAATTTCCTGTTAAAACATATTGACCACATATTTTTGTATTTAACTGTCACTTTTCAGCTAATATATGGGGCTTTATGGGCTTTTCCGGGGACCCCTAGGGTGTACTAAAATTAGTTTTTTTATTTTATAGCAAGCACGATCCCTGTCTTGATTAACGAAAATTTTCCCATTTTTTGTTTTAAAAAAATTTTAAGGACATAAGGTTTAATCAACAAAAAAACATGCATGAATGAACCGGTGTTAAACGTTTATTTAAATAGTGGTCGCTGCAGAAATTTGGAAAAGACAAAATAATAAAAAATTTTTGCCCCCTAAAAAAAGCATTTACTTATAAATTTTTGTTTTTTAAAAAATTATTGAAAAAATTTTTTTAAAGGTTTTAAACCAGAACATTTTACAACACGAGCCTAAACTGAACCGGGGCCCAGTGACGCACGGTAGTTTTTTGAAAAAAATAACAAAAAAAAATCAAAAATTTAGAAATTTATTTTTGTGAATAAAGAATGAAAAATTTTAGAAATTCTGTAAAAGAGTGATCAGTCAGCAAAAAAAATAAAGGGTACATTTTGCCCCTGATCCGCGGCCAAAAGTTTTGAAGAGGGTAAACGAATTTCATCTGTAAGCTAGTGAATATTGGGGGCAGTAAAACCCCCAACCATCTATGGGATCCCATTAAATTTTTTTAAAAAAATTTCGCACTTTCCCCCTACCATAAACAACGGGGCGAAGCAGGGCCCTGGGCCAGAAGATTTTTTAAATATGAAAGGGCTCTGTATTTTCCGGAGTTCTCACAAGAAAAAAAAACTACTTTTTTACTCAAGCGATAAAAAAATTTTAGCTAACCAATAACAAAATGAACATTTATAAAATTTTAAAGGGCAAAGGCCGCCCCGCCTTTTATAACGGGTTAACTTTACAAAAAAAAGGTTTTGTTTTATCAATTTTTTACCTTTCATTTTAAAAGCTAATAAAATCGGCACACAACATAATTTTTTTATGGCAAAACAAATATTTAAAAAAAATGTCCCACATAAAGACAAAATAAAAAAAAGAACAAAAAGAGTTAAAAAAGAATCATTTTCACTGTTAAACATTAAAGGTGATACAGTTATTTTTCCCTTTGCTTACGCCCATTCGTCTTTTTTGTTGTTGGGGCAAGCCCCTGGGAACCAATCAAAACAAACTTAATGTACAATGTACATATATATGTATAGGTAATATAAATATACCTTTTGTGGGGTTGGTTAGTATTGCTAGTTGGCAAGACGAATTTTGATAACATGAATATGGTATACTATACATATACAATAAATACCGTATGTCATTTTGAGATTCTTATTTCTTCCCTTATAACCCGGGAACGCTAAAAATGCCGTAAAAATAAAATGTTTAGTTATGGCACTATATTTATAGATGGATGAAACATCAACCCAATGATCTATCAAATACAAATGTACAAGTACGAGCTCATACTGCTCATGCCTTTGATCAAACTTAACATGAAATTCATTAAAAAAACAACAACAAAAAAAACAAAAAACAAAAAAACAAAAAAACCAACAGAAAATAAGAATGTTAATTTATAAAATCAGAGACATAGATAACATATAATAGTTATCTTTGTCTCTGATGAAATATCATGACCGATACGAACGGTGTTATGGCAACATAAAAACAACCTAAACTCTTGAAATGATGCGACCAATTTGTTATAATGATATATACATAGATAAAAATAAATGACAGTATCTTAAATAAATTTGAAAACTGACTATATCAGTATATATCCATTTGATGTAAAAAAATGTGTAAATTGCGTCCCTTTACTTAAATCATCATGAACACACCATGTGACCAAACGAGATTTTCATAGAATAAATAATATTTACAACATTTTAAAAACATATTTTCACAGCTAATCTTTGATTATTATGCATGACACTGACTCGGCAATACATTTATTTTAAGACCTAGAACTAACATGTTAAATACAGTGGAGCACTGTTAACCCGAAACTACTCTAATCGAAATTCCGACTTAATAGGTCTACTAACTGTTTACCCGATTCACTTTTACTCTATATCTAATGGGAAAGATCAGAGTCTTTGTTCAATTTTCATTTTGAAATTAACCTCACGGATTCGAACATTAATCTCATGGATCCGAACATTAAAATCGCTAGCGAACATTAGTCTCACAGATTCGGAAAGTAACCTAACTGATCCGACCACTAAAATCAGGTATCCGAACATTAACCTCCCGGATCCGATCATTAACCTCCCGGATCCGAACATTAACCACAGAGATTCGAAAAGTAACCTCATAGATCCGACCATTAAAATCAGGTATCCGAACATTTACCTCACGAATCCATCCTAACATTAACCTCAAGGATCCGAGTATTAACCGCACGGATGCAGCATTAACCGCACGGATCCGAAAATTTACCTCACGGACCCGAACATAACGAAATTATAATACATGAAATACCCTATTCCTTTCCTTTTTTCTTTCTTTTTTCTTTGGAAGAAAAAGAAGTAAAAAATTCTTCACAGAATTTACAGCAATCATGTTTATATACATTATGATCGTCAGTAGTTACGTCGTTCTTATCTAACAAAAATCGGCGTTACAAACGTGCAATGTTATAAAGTATTGTGCTAAGCATAACAGCAGACACTGTAAAAAACCCTAACAATCTGTCTCACAAAGTTTTCCTATCTCACTTAAAAAACGAAATCAAAATGAGACAAGAACTCGAGTATGTTCATACATAATAAATTACCATAACTACAGAAATACAGCAAAAATCAGTTAACCCTTGTACTTTTATAGTTCGCTAATTCTTATTAAGTTATGAAGTATTCACACGACCCAGGGCTGGTGGTCCCTAGAACCAGGGCCTGTGGTCCCACGAACCAGGGCTGGTGTTCCCTCGAACCAGGGCTTGTGGTCCCTCGAACCAGGGCTGGTGGGACAATCATATAGACCGACCAGAATGGCGACAACACAATTTTCATATTCTTATATCAATTACCGTACAATACGTAACGGAAATCTAAACAAAACTGATATGATGTTTAATGATGAACTAAATGGAACAGGCGATATAATACTTGTTACCTTGTTACATTTCTAACCCGACTAGAACACTGCAAGACCCTATAAATCTCAAACAAATGTTGACGTGTGTAAACTATAAAAAATTTACCAGTTTCAATACGTTCATGTTAAACAAACCGTCACGTTAAAACACCGTGATTAAAGGATAAAACAAAAAATGCCACTCCGAGCACCCCGCCTACTGCCATGATCACCGATCTACAAAATTGCCAGTCAAATACAGTTATTCTTTTTCTTCCTCTGGGAAGAAGTATTGAGCCAAAAATTGTTGTTTCGTTTTTTCCAAAGCTGTCATGATGAACTTTTTACTAACTGGTCGTAACGAAAGACTCATTAGCACTTTCTTTGTAGCTTTTGTTTTGTCTTGTTGACAGACTAATTCTAACTGCTGGAATTCTGTACGAGTAATTACTTCATTCTCAAACATGTTATCAATAAACTCGTCAACGATAAACGAGTCCCTGAGTGTTGTAAAGTTTTTCTGGATCGCTTTCTCTAGCGACACAGGATCGTCAATTTGACTAGCAGCCTGTGTTACCAAATCAGGGTGTCTAACCGGACCAGGTATATTATAACCGGAAGCAGTATAACTCCCGGTAAGATCGTTTTCAGAATTATTTGAAGGTATGTTGTTAATGTCGTTTTCAGTTTCTTCACGGATACAAGTTACCGCCAGGTTTCCGCCCTGGGTCAGAGACACATTTGTACAGCCCCCACCCACAACATGTCGGTTTGAAATATTGATGATTTCGAGCCTTGCACTGATACCGTACAATTCAAATACCAGCCAGACTTCGGAATCTGTGTTAGCCCGGCAGTTTTGTCTGCTGCGTTTGCCGGAAGCAGTTTTGTATATAAAAGAATCTCCCGTGAACTCTACAATGATGGGATTTCCGGCACAGTCATCTTTTTCAAACTTTTCAATTTGAAACCAGTCTGGTTTTGAGCTCGATAAACTCTCACGTTGGTTTAAAATGTCAAATTTGTCTTCGTTATGCCGACGGAATTCGAGCGGCGACTGATTTGTGTATCTCATTAAAACATAATATCTGAAACAGAAAACACGTGTTTGAATCAATTATGAAACATTTTACAGTATTTACAAAACATTTTACAGCAATAAAAGAACATTTTACAGCAACCTAGAAGCATTTTCCAGCAATAAAGAAACAGTGTATAGCATTAACGAGACATTTTACAGCAATAAAGAAACAGTGTATAACACTTACGAAACATTTTACAGCAATAACGAAACATATTACATCAATTAAGAAGCATTTTACAGCAAGAAAGATACAATGTACAGCAATTGCGAAGCATTTTACAGCAATAAAGAAACAGTTTACAGAAATCACGAAACATTTTCCAGCAATTTCAAATGATCTTACGCCAGTAAAGAAACATTTTACAGCAATAACTTACCATCTTACAGCAATTACCAAATATTTTACAGTAATTGATTTAAAACTCTTTTTTTTAGCAATTTCGAAGCATCTAACCAAAATACGAAACATTTTACAACAATTTAGAAACATTTAACAGCAATTAAGTAATATTTGAAATTGTATGAGTTAATTTTTCCCGATTTACTTCATGTACATGTTTCAACCTTTTAAGCAATTAGTTAACAGAACACATTTTAACATTAAATTTAAGATATACAAGCAGATATCACTTCTATGTTTGTCCACGTAATAATTCATACATAGATCAAAATGAATTGCCAACATATATTTCATTCCCAAATACATGAAATATAAGACATTATCAAGGGACAAAAGTAATGCATGTAATCAAAATGATTCCGAAATGTCTTTTAAAATCTAAGTTTGTACAATGAATTAATTCATTGTGTGTCGATTCCTTCTTTGTAAACCTTTTTACGCATTTTTCTTTATGTTTCACTGTAAAAAATCAATTTAATTCGTGTTTCTAATATTAAATAGTTCCGGAAGAGAAAATCATATAAAAATAAATGTTTGAAACTTTACCTTCCTGGTATAGTGCCATGGTAGGCTTTTGGTGAACAATGTAGAACATACTGCTTCTGGGTTTCCACAGGTTCCGAGTAAAAGCAAAGTGCAGCAGGACTTTTCGTCTGGCTAGTCGCAGCAGTTGGGTCATTTAATACTTTGATGTTACCGCCACACAACTCGGAGAATAGATGACGTATGTGGTTATTACCTGTAGAATATACACGAGAATAACGTGCAGAATATTCACGAGAATAACGTGTAGAATAAAACACGAGAATAACGTGCAGAATAAAACACGGGAATAACGTGTAGAATAAAACACGGGAATAACGTGTAGAATATACACGAGAAAACGTGTAGAAATATACACGAGAATAACGTGTAGAATATACACGAGAATAAAGTGCAGAATATACACGAGAATAACGTGTAGAAATATACACGAGAATAACGTGTAAAATATACACGAGAATAACGTGTAGAATATACACGAGAATAACGTGCAGAATTTACACGAGAATAACGTGCAGAATATATACGAGAATGATGTGTAGAATAAAACACGAGAATAGCGTGTAGACTATACACGAGAATAAAGTGCAGAATATACACGAGAATAACTTGTAGAATATGCACCAGAATAACGTGTAAAATATACACGAGAATAACGTGTAGAATATACACGAGAATGGTGTGTAGAATAAAACACGAGAATAACGTGTAGACTATACACGAGAATAAAGTGCAGAATATACACGAGAATAACTTGTAGAATATGCACCAGAATAACGTGTAAAATATACACGAGAATAACGTGTAGAATATACACGAGAATGATGTGTAGAGTAAAACACGAGAATAACGTGTAGACTATACACGAGAATAAAGTGCAGAATATACACGAGAATAACTTGTAGAATATGCACCAGAATAACTTGTAGAATATACACGGGAATAACGTGCAGAAAATATACGGGAATAACGTGTAGAATATACATGAGAATAACGTGTAGATTATACACGGGAATAACTTGTAGAATATACATGAGAATAACGTGTATAATAAAAACGAGAATAACGTGTAGACTAAAAACGAGAATAAGGTGCAGAATAAAAACGAGAATAAAGTAGAATATACACGAGAATAACGTGTATAATATACACGGGAATAACGTGTAGAATATACACGAGAATAAGGTGTAGAATAAAAACGAGAATAACATGCAGAATAGAAACGAGAATAAAGTAGAATATACACGAGAATAATTGTAGATTATACTCGAGGAAACATAGCAATTTCACTATTATTATAAATGAACATAACGCAAAACGTAACAAAGTATTTTTGGTAATTTTATTAAGCACACACTTCAGGTCAATTGGTTAATTATTCCCTTTGGTGGGGGGAATTCTTTTCCTCCACTTTATTCAGTAGCAGGCAATAAAGAACTCAGAAAATAATGAACGTTTAAAAATATAATAAGCCTCTGAAATAAGTGCGTTTTTTCCCTCCCAAACAAAAGTCCCCAAGCGCTAGATACATTATTAAAATCCCATATTATTTACCATATGAATACGCTTATACGTAATTGAGTCAGACATATAAGTTTTATAGTACAATGTGATGTTTTAACGACTTTAAAAAATAATCCTTGTCTAGTTCTACTAGTGGTATGTGGGTATCTCGCATCATCTAAATATAGTAACACAAAAGCTTCTAAATATAGTAACAAAAATAAAATCTAAATATAGCAACAAGAATTTTGATGGAATTCAAATGTAACTTTAACACGGGTATCGTTTTTTTCATTATCCAAGGTGATACGTATTATTTTTCATAATAATACCAAAAAAAAGTTCGGAAATTTTAAAAGAATTTAAATTTGAAATAAAACCTCCCTTGTTAAATTTGGACGAGGAAGAGGTATATATACGGTTACCTTTTTGTCGTAAGTGGGGTAGTGTATAACAATGTGAAAGAATGGCATAAAGTTACTCTAATTTGCATTTTATGTATTGGAGAATTTCAATGCATAAAGTATCTAGGTTATTTTTTGTTTGTTTGCTTTTCTGTTTACAAGGACAACCGAAATTGTGTCTTTGGGGGAATTTACCAGATATATTTAATCCTTCTTAAAAATAAATATTTGGAGTTGTTTATTACCAAGGTTGTAACCATTGAAAAAAAAACATTAAAAATTCGGTGTTTTTTATATATACATGTATATATAAATAACTTATACTTGTGCACTTTAACAAAAAGAATGCTCTTGAATTCAAACTTAAATTTGTGAAAAGCAGTTCCCAAATATGACAGAGGGAAAACAGTTGTGATAAACTGAAATTCGACTGTGTTCCTGGAGATCTGACAGAAGCCGAGTGGTGTGAACCTATATACAAAGTAGGCATGGACAAAGAATTTGCTTGAACGTAGGCGCCCTTTGCTAGCAAAAACAGACCTAATCAGGGCTAACCTTATTTTTTGCTGACTACTATATGTTTAGGTGTTCATTGTACGCTGTGCAGTGGGGTACTTTCGGCTTAAAATTCCTTTCTTGGGCTAATTACTCTATGGAAATTGTCAATCATGACTGGTGACCAGTCCGGGGTCCGTAGATAGTGAAAGCTGCGTTTTGTGCCTTACCGGGCGGATCATAGAGAACATACATTCATGGCATAATGCACTATCAAATGTCTTTAAAACGGTTTTCCAATACCGCAAAATTTCTTTCGTTGATTAAAATATAAATTAATTCTTACTGCATAAAAAAACCCTCAAGATTATCAAATAAAAATTGAACCAAGTTACAAACGTGCAATATCATATAACAAGAGGGCCATGATGGTCCTGCGGTCGCTCACCTGTATAAAGGCACCCGGAGCGGGCCAGTTTAAACCCCAGGGCTTTTATTTGAACAAACTTGGAAGACACCCATTAGAAGATGTTTCACGATATTAAGTTTTTACTACTCACATATAATGAAAAACAACAATCTACCCCCCTCCTTCCGCCCCCCTGGCAGGGCCAATTTTAACCCAAGGGCTTTTTTTAACAAACTTGGTAGACACCCATAAGAAGATGTTTCATGCTAAACATCTAAGCTCTAGCTCATTGGGTTTTTTTAAAAGAAGATTTTTAAAGTTTTTACTATACACATACAGTTAAAATCAATAACACCCGGGGCGGGGCCAATTTTGACTCCAGGGCTTTTATTTGAACAAACTTTGTAGACACTCACTAGAAGATGTTTCATGCTTAATATCTAAACTCCAGCTATTTGGGTTTTTTCAAAGGAGATTTTTTAAGTTTTTGCTATATACATATAAGGAAAATCAATGACCCCCAGGGCGGGGCCAATTTTGACCCCAGGGCTTTTATTTGAACAAACTTGGTAGACACCAATTAGAACATGTTTCATGCTAAATATCTTAGCTGTAGCTCTTTGAGTTCTTTAAAAGAAGATTTTTTTAAGTTTTTACTATATGCATATAGGGAAAATCAATGGCCCCCTGGGGCGGGGCCAATTTTGACCCCAGGGCTTTTATTTGAACAAACTTTGTAAACACTCATTAGAAGATGTTTCATGCTTAATATCTAAACTCTAGCTATTTGGGTTTTTTCAAAGAAGATTTTTAAGTTTTTACTATATGCATATAGGGAAAATCAAAGACCCCCTGGGGCGGGGCCAATTTTGACCCAAGGGTTTTATTTGAACAAACTTGGTAGACACTCACTAGAAGATATTTCATGCTTAATATCTAAACTCTAGCTATTTGGGTTTTCTCAAAGAAGATTTTTTAAGTTTTTACTATATGCATATAGGGAAAATCAATGACCCCCTGGGGCGGGGCCAATTTTGACCCCAGGGCTTTTATTTGAACAAACTTGGTAGACACTTATTAGAAAATGTTTCATGCTAAATATCTTAGCTCTATCTCTTTGGGTTGTTTAAAAGAGAATTTTTTAAGTTTTTACTATATGCATATAGGGAAAATCAAAGACCCCCTGGGGCGGGGCCAATTTTGACCCCAGTGCTTTTATTTGAACAAACTTGGTAGACACTCATTAGAAGATGTTTCATGCCAATTATCTAAGCTCTAGCTCATGGGTTTTTTTAAGAGAAGATATTTAAAGTTTTTTCTTTCGGTTGCCATGGCAACCAGAGTTCTGCATGGAATTAAATTCTTTTGAACAATTTTTAAAGGTGACCACCCAAGGAACATTCCTGTGAAGTTTAGATGAAATTGGCTTAGTGGTTTATGAGGAGATGTCATTTAAAGTAAAAGTTTACGGACGGACGGACGCCGGACGAAAAGTGATCACAAAAGCTCACCCTTTCACTTTGTGACAGGTGAGCTAAAAAGTACACATACTCATATAATGAATTCGCGATAACTGTGATAATCTTAAAAATATACCGGAATTATCAAGTTTTAGGTCGACGGCCCCATATTTCACATCCGCAACTAGCCAATACTGTTCATTCAGGTCTATTCCTTGTTTGTATTGTCCACCACCATAACTCGATACAACCTCCTGTCAAAAATTAAACAAGATTATTTTAGTCAAATCTTCATTTGTTTATAATATGCAAAGCAGTACCTAAACCGTTCATCTCTCGAAAATGAAGTAGCAACCCACTAAATTGCATTTTACAAGTATAGAAGTCCCCACTTTTGGAAATTAAATCTCCCAATATACAGAGAACAATTTCATCTATTGTCAATTTGTCACATATTTAGAAAAAGCTCAAGATTTGTGTAGAGTAACAAACTGACAAAAAAGAACTATAAATAAAATGATGAATACTGTTTAAGTGTATCAGGCATAATTATACGTAGCTGAATTCAGTCTGCCTTACCCGTGCTACTTCATCCACTCGTATGCACATAGCACACGTCCGCTTGTGAATCTTTACATCATTCAGAAAGTGATACTTTTCCAGTTGACTTGAAGACTCTGGGACCTTCCCTCGAAGAGTTCCTGGGTCTACTTGAGTAATACCAAGTTCTACTGCACCTGATCCCTGCAAAGTCAAGGTCACAGGGTCGCTGATGGTCAGTGGTTTTTCTGTAAACAGTAAACCACCCGTCTGAACCGGGCTCCAGATAGCTGTCGTTCTATTTTTGTCGAATGTGATATTTTTTCCTTTGACCTCGTGGAACATTTTTATCTGCTAAGTGGCAACTGAAATAAAGAAATAGACTTAAGTTGACTATAGTGATAAGCGTCCCAAGTGATTCTTGATAAACATAAGACAATAACGTCAAACAGATACACGTATAGTTTTATTAATACGTGGAACGCACGAAAAAATGTATTTCTACCGTGGCCTTAATTAGTCCGTGATTACATCAAATTGTTTATGAAGTTGTTGAATACATGTACTGATAAAATGTATTCTTTCGTTAATGCCCTTTTAGCCCTACGCAGAGTACGCATGCGCGAAATGCTACTTCCGTTTCTATGGAAATATCGTATTGTAAAAAGGTCAACATACAATGTAAATGTATGTCTTTTTCAGGCTTTTTACTGCCTCTACCAAAAAAACTAGGGAAAAAGTAGGGCATTTTTTTACCAAAAAGTAGGGCAAAGTAGGGATTTCTGATGTTAAAAACTAGGGATAAAGTAGGAATTTCTTACCATTTTAGTTAAGAATTAGCAAAACATACCATCACCAAGACCACATCGGGCTGTGTGTATCTTCAGTTCAGTCCATGCTTGAAAGACAGGCACCTCATAGGCAGAATGTTGCTGAATGTTTTGCCAAGGCACCATGAGCAGAGCTGTATCAGTACTAAGGGTGTAGTACTTAAGTACCAGTACTTGCCCAGATTTGCAGTACCATTTCCAGTACTAGTACTTGATTTTAGCTTGGTGCTGTAGTATCAGTACTTTTTGGGGGGAATTAATTAAGTGCCAGTACTAATACTTATAATTATATATTCATCAAAGTTTGAATAAATACACAGTGTCATTCAAAATAATTGCAAACATTATTCAACAAAGAAATAAAATCATTTACTTTAAAGTTGATATTACATTTTTACAACTTAAATGAACAAACATACTTTTTACAAACAATAATCATCATATATTCATGTCATATGTTATTGTTTTGTAACCAGCCAACTGGTTACATTTTAAACCCACCAGTCTTTTTTGTTGCCTTTTACACCTTCACACCTCTGTTCAATTTATACCAAAGTAAATAACTTTTTTATGGTGCAAACAATATCACTTGAAATATGATTATTTAGAATAGAAGAAATTAATTAGTGTTTATTTTGCTCATTTTTACTAGTAAATACAAAGTAATAAGATTGCAATAAGGATATTTTACCAGTAAAGAGTTATTGACTCTGTTTATCTCAATTTAATTTTACTTTAAGTCTTTGGTGCTTTTTTATGATGAATACTATGTTAACATTTGAAGGAATATTGCAGCAAATTATTTATAGATTTGATAACTTACTTTTTCACAAAAATAAAATAATTCATGGAATTTACAGCTTTACTTTATGAGTAAAAATAATGACATTTTTATCAAAACCAAATATACTGCCTAGTAATGCAGTAGCAGTACCACTTTTTTAAGACAGTAATGCAGTACCAGTACCTGAGTAGTAGCAAAATTTTGTAAGAGTATTTCAGTATCAGTACCAGTACTGGAGCAAAATTGCTCCAGTATATACTGCAGTACCAGTACCAGTAATGCGGCTCTGACCATGAGTCTTTCAAGGATGGACATCACAAGGAGACACTAACACACCTTAACTACTCATCAATTTCTACTGAAAATACAACTGAAATACCATTTTAAATATCTTCTTTTTTTCATTTCATTTCAAAATGAAAAAGTAGGGATAATAGGGCTATTTCAGAAAAAAGTAGGGCAAAGTAGGGATCAAAAGAAAAAAGTAGGGAAAAGTAGGGAAAAGTAGGAAAAGTAGGGACCAGTAGAAAGCCTGCTTTTTGTTAGTTTTTTTATCACGTAGACTCTGTTAATATATAATGACTTTCCTTCAGTACTGGTGTAGGAAGACCTTATTATTATTTCACTTCCTGAATTATTTCTGTCCCGAGCGTGCACTTGTGTAGAACAATCCATCCTCTGCAAGTTAGCTGCCCGGGAGCACCCGAGCACACAACTAGAGTGTTAACAAAGTTTTTTTTATTTTTAGCTCCTGTGACCTAGTTTTTCATCCGAGATGACCCATGTTCAAACTCATCCGAACAATTACCTAGACAAGCATCCCGACTAAATTTGATGATGATTGAGTCAAAAATGTGACTGCTAGAGTGTTAACAAGGTTTTTTATTTTTAGCTCCTGTGACCTAGTTTTTCATCCGAGATGGCCCATGTTCGAACTCATCCGGGCTATTACCTAGGCAAGCATCCTGACAAAGTTTGATGATGATTAAGGCAAAAATGTGACCGCTACAGTGTTAACAAGGTTTTCTATTTTTAGCTCCTGTAATCCGAGATGATCCATGTTCGAACTCATCCGAGCTACTACCTAGATAAGCATCCTGACAAAGTTTGATGATGATTGAGGCAAAAATGTGACCGCTAGAGTGTTAACCAACAAGTCTGGACGGATGACAGACGACGGACGTTCAACGATCCTAAAAGTTCACCCTGAGCTAGCTCAGGTGAGCTAAAAATGTATGTTAAATCGGCGTAAAAACAATCAGAAACACAAAAAATAAAGTAAGTTATACTGGAAGCTTTGGCTTTCTCACATGAGAGAATAAAAGATTCTTGACGGAATTCGAACCTAGCAGCCTCCTTCACCACTCGACCATTAGGGCTCCCCCACCCCATGCTCTGTAAATTGTACCCATGAAAATATGAGGACACATTCATCTACTTTCATTCGTCGTCGGCGGTCTATAAAAGACATTTTCTCAGAATAGAATTTGTCTTTTTTATGTTATTTTGGAAACTAATGCGAGAAAGAAAGTCTTCATTTTACTCGCGACACCACATGTGTACTAAACTGAATTCACATAGGTGTCATTATAGGATCTGATGGTGGTGGTGGATAGCGGCAGTGAGCCACATTGAATATACCAGAGCACAGATCCTGGGCAGACTGTCAGTACAAAATGACTTCACTTTCTCCAGGAATTGATCACTTTTGTAATGTCAGAGCAGAGATACAGATTGAATGACGTTAGAAAGGATTTCGCGATCAATCACAACGAAAGTGACCTGCAGCGTTCGAGATCACAGTCCAACGCTCTACCTATTGAGATAACGGGACGGTTGAGCTTACAGTACTTGGTTTTTTTTGTTTTGTTTTTTTTATGCGTTTATTTAAGGTCGACACCGGAAAGCCCATATGGGCGACCGTACACTCAAGTCGGGTCATCCTAGAGCGTCCCGCCGAGATTTTTTCGTCGATTTTTTTCCCAGCTTTTTGGAGGAAGACCCCAGGTGCCCCTTCGGGCATTATTTCAGGCACGAGCGGGCACCTGGGTAGAACCACCGACCTTCCGTAAGCCAGCTGGATGGCTTCCTCACGTGAAAGATTTCGACCCGAGTGAGGATCGAACCTACAGTGGTGAGGGACCTGTGATCTCAAGTCTGCGACTTTAACCACTCGGCCACGGAGGCCCCAGTACCTGGCCTGCGCTGTGAAGATTTTATAGAAAAGCTGTTACTAGTTACTCCTACCTGTTGCTTAAGATATTTGAACTACATTCCAGTTACTGCAACTACTCCCGCGTATTAAATAGCTTATTGTTATTTTATATATACATTGTATTAAAGAAATAAGTTGTGAATACATTTTTACGTGTATTTGTTTAATTCATCAGTTTCTTCAAATATAAATATAGAGATCACAGTGAAAGTGAAAAGATTTCACACATGTTACCAAATCAGGAAGTTAATATACAACAGAGTCGAACTATCTTGATTTCATCTAGTAAATTTCACAAAACCGTGTCCTGTTTGCATCCAAAGGCAATGTGAGGCCACTAAAATTCACGGTAATGATAAGATCAAGGTTTGTCATCCAGAAAACGGGCTAGTCATAAATTATTTTTGATAATTACGGAAATTTAATGGCCATTAAAACGTGTTCCTGACATAAATATATCACTTAATCTAGTAGCACAAGAGGTGCCAAGCACACTTGTTATTTTACGATGTTCAAGTTAAAACACAACTTTCAATGTCATAATGACGAGGTGTCTGCTTTGGGAATTTTCGTAGGTAAAATCCCGGTGCCTGTACGCAGATTATAAAATGTCACGTAATATATAGGTACCGTGAAAATGCTATGACTTTCATATGGTCATATTTTATTACTTCGGGACTCGCACCAACGCCGGTGTTAAATGGGAATGAAAAGGTCGCGAATTTTTTTCAAGTGAAATGTCAGAAAAATTGAATATATCCATCGGGCGGCCCGGGTTCGATTCCCGGACGGCGCAAGTCACTTGATCTTTTCTACGGTCATTTCGACTGTACCTCTGCTCTAATATGTACAGAAGTTTCAGTTCCTTGCGAAAGTAAAAGCAACTAGTAATGGATCAACTGCTTGACTGCCGGCCCAGGAACGATGCGGTGGTTGAACTGTGCTCTGGTAAATTCAATGTGGCTTTCTGCCATGATCCGGAGTGAAAACTACCAACACCACCACGTTATCGCAAGATAGACTAAAGTAAAAAATATATAGGCTCCCAAGATAGATACAGTGATCGGAAGTAACACGTGCTTGTAATTGCAAGACTGGGTACACATTGAATTGTATAGGCTCGCAAGACAGTGAATTATTTCTTTTAACTTTATGATATCTGTGATAATGAGATAGTGCTGTGATGTTGAATTCTGCATAAGTATTTTGACAAACTTTAAGTTTTCTCTGAAAAACGAAACACCACACTCTATACATAGTTTGCCATTACAAAATGTTTGCTTCTAGAAACAGCTAAAATTTGAACTATTTGAACAAAAGAATGTGATTTTTAAACAAACAAGCCATACTATAGTTGATATTATCTAGACCAAGGGATTTTTTTTTGCTCAAGGGGAATTTTTTTCAGGTGGGGAAGTAGCCGTTAAACAGCTACAGTTATATAGCAAAAAAAACCACCCCTGTGTAACATATCAATATATCTTATTACTTTAAGGCCAATATGAGACAAATAATTGAATATAAAACATAATTATAATAAATTGAAACAATGATATATAAGAAATTAAAATAATCTATCGTCTGCGATTGTAAGCTAACTTAATACAGTTCGCCTAATTCGATTTACAATTGGCATTATTGTAAAATATCAATAAAATTCATTCTTATTCATTGAATTTTTATGACCCCGAAGTGCGGTCGTTTGTCTGATGTCAAAAAATGCATATGAACCTGTGTAACGCACTTTTGGGTTTGACACCAAAGTGCGTAACGCACTTTGGGGTTGGACACCAAAGTGCGTTTGACCCCAAAGTGCTGCGTTACAGTGCTTAGTGTAAAGCACAACTTCATCAAGCTTGGTGTTTAAGGCGTTGTTGACAATTTTGATTTAGTTGCAGCGGCGGGAAATTGAATTTACGACCCCTGGATTTGTAGTAAGAAATTTGAGCCGTGTCATGACAAAACCAATGCATTTGCGACCAGCATGGATCCAGACCAGCCTGCGCAGTCTGATCAGGACCCATGCTGTTTGCCATCAGTTTCTCTACTTGTAATAGGGTTGGTAAGCGAACAGCATGGATCCTGATCAGACTGCGCGGATGCGCAGGCTGGTCTGGATCAATGCTGGTCGCAAACCCATTATATGTTAGTTTTGTCATGGCGCGGCTCATTTGTGGGTGGGTGTGATGTGATTGGGAAATATGATCGGGACCTAGCGTCAAGTATAAAACATCTCATTAAAGTTTATTTACAAGCAATAAAATAAGATGAAATAACATTAACAATACACAAAAGATCAATTCAAAGAAAAAAAATCACATACATGTATCATGTATCAGAGTTTACCAACAATGCACAACACATGTCGCCCTCTTCATTAAAAAGGACACTACATGGCACGTCAATATATATTTTGACTATATACGCTGTGTATACGTGTAAATTAAGAAACATACATGTACAAAGGTGCGCTGACATACATGTATTTTTCCATTTAAGACAGTCACTTTAAAATTTATGCTGAATAATTGAAGAATTATAGTGAAAAACACTTTGATATAAAGACACCTGTATGCTGGTAATGAATTTGAAAATATACGACTGTACACTAAGTAACGCAAGAATATTTACTTTCGATTTAGCTCTTGTTACAAATATGGCAGGCGGAAATCCCATTTCAAAGTGCTTTTTAAATAATCACCCGATTTCGGTATTTCTCTATAATTTGCCATTTTGCCAATAAGACCTTGGGATTTATCTATACGATAGGGAAAAACAATATTAATTTGAAATATTTACATAAAAATCGTAAATAACTTACCATAAATAAGTCCACTTTATATTACAATAGCATCTATTTGTACACCTTTATCAAACGACCTTCACCTGACCTGGTTATTTATAGATATATGACTAATACAGGTGTTGATGTCACGCCGTTCAATATTGTCGTGTGTTTGCTAATTTACATATATCTATCTATAATTGGGAAAAACTGCATAATTGGAATTGAAAGGTATGCTATTTTAATCTCTATTTTGCTGTTGCTGTTGTTTTGTGGTTATTTGTTTATAAATTTCTAACGGATACATAAAATACTGTATGTTTGTATATCGATATATATTTATATTTTTAGGGGGAACGCAGGGGATTTCCCTTTTTCATTTTGAAATTTGAATGATAAGTTATATTTAGTACAAAGTTCCGGGGCTGATCCAGGTAATATATGATTTGAACTGATGTTTTAAAATATGTACATGTATGTTTGTTGTTAGTAATGTTATATTTAATGCGTACGTACGTGTAGGTGTACAATTAACGTAACTATACATGTATGCCTTTGGGCGCGGTTTCTGTAACATTGTACTAAGTTAGCAATTATTCAATATGCTAAATCAATAGATAACAATTTTGAATTTCTACACGTATTTGACTGTTTGCATGGCAATGTACAAAATGATTGATGAAAACTTTGTGCTTGAATTGTATTTTACTAATTGTATATGAATTTAAAACAGTTGAATTACCCCTTCAGTCTCGACAGATTCATTTTTCATTGTTTTGCTATGTCCGTCATTTCACAAACGGTTAAATACTTTATACAGCCGTGTGCAGCCACGCACGCGTTTGCTAGATGTGTTTTCTAATGTTAGCCCCTGGTTTCCTAGGAGTTTCCGGCCCCAAATCGCACTTTTTAACTAATAAAAAAATCTCAAAAAAATATCAAACTAGAATTCCCCAAGTGTTGCTTATTTTTAAATGTCCCAAATTCTCTTAAACAGGCAAAAGTTAAAATTATTACAATCGCTGTACTATTTTAAGTGCTGTATTGCATAGAAACATATGTATCTCTGATTAATAAAGTAACATAGACGCTAACTGATAAAAAAAATAAGCTGTGCTAGATGAAAATGATGAAGGGCCGGAAAACTGCTAGAGACCGGAAACTGCTAGGAAACCAGTATACATTTAAGAAAGATTAATATTGATACTCAATAACTTATTCAAATCATTAAATAAATTTTTAGAATTGTGACTCAAAAACACAAATAACTACACCGCCCACGAGTTTTTGCGTCAGCCTGCCCTATAAAGTATATGTCCACAAATTGAAACTGGTTGTAGTTTTGCGAACTTGCAAAAACGCAAACAAGTTTGAATTGAGAATAAACATACATAGCTGTACAAACAGCAATTTATTCAGCAATAAAGAAATAACGTTACTTCTATAAAAAAAATCCAAAAAATAAGTAACAAACGACATATAAGAATCTGAACGCTGTATTATGCGATATTTCTACTAATTAGACGGTTGAGTTTTGCAGGGAGCACACTTTCCCTGTTACGTCTAAAACATTTTCCTAGCAAGTCATTATATTTTCTCGGAAAAGATATGTTTGTATTAACTATTGTTGCAAAAAAAAATGGGATTTTAAATAAGCTGACTTACTGTTATCTTTTAAAATCACTGGGGTGAGGCTGCAAGCATGGAGATAGTCAAAATATATTGACGTGCTGAGATAATTTTGTTCTTGGAATTAGAGGAGAAATATTGCCCATACACAAAATAGTATGGTGGCTGATTTGGTACACTTTGCGCTTTGCATTGTCAATAGCGACAACACAAGCTATATCGTTATCGCCTTTTCGTCTTGTCGTCATGTCACTAGCGGAGCACGCCAAACGGCGCGTTGTCATGCGGGCGTTGTCGCGATGTCGCCCTGTCGCTTGGCTTATAAGCCAACCCTTCGATTTGAGCCGAACGAAAATGTGACATCGCGACAACACGCCGCACGACAACGCGCCATTTGGTGTGCATCGTTAGCAACTGGACGACAAGACGAAAGTCTGACAACGCGCCGTTTTTGCGCTTTGTCGTGCTTTCGCAAGCGACAACACGACGCACAAAAGCATTCCAAATCAGCCAAAATTAAATAGCGCAATGTCTCATCACGTAGTACAATTAGTTGGACTAGCATGGAGGGGGCGTGGGTTGAATAGAATCTTTCTGTCTTACGTGAAAAAGGTCACGTGCATTGTAATTATAAATAATAAAATAGTTCTACACCATGTGTAATGATAAAACAACAATGTTATGACTAGGACAAATTAATCGATACATTGTTAATCAGAACATTCCTTATTTATCGATAAAACAGTGAGTCTAATTGTATCATCGTATATTAACATAGGTATGTAGAAATCAATTCGTAGTGAACTAAATTAAACTTGGAGTTAAGCTGTTACCAGAAGGTAGCGTTTACATGTTGTGCCTTTTTTTCTCTTAATTATTTATTGGCGTATTTAATGTATGCACTAAATATATATATATTTTAGACGTTGTGTTGATAGTTACTTATATTTTCATGAAAATTGACAGGAAGAATTTCACCTGGAAATTCATTAACAGAACATTTTAAGGCACATTACGCCTAAGAAATCCATAAACATTAAATTTTATATAATGTTTTGATAATGGATTTAGAGCGTGTTACTAGATGTTTAACAGCTGAAGAAAGTAGCACTGAATGTGCAGTAATGTGTCGTTAAGAGAGCAAAATGTAAACAAAGTAGTATTTTGACTTCCATTCAGTATAATTATACCAATTGCAAATAAGGCAAAACAAGCAAAGATAGTTCATATGTATATGCTAAATTATTGTTATTTTTTTCTTTTAATTTTGAACTGTCGCATAAACCAAAAATTATTTTTTGGTGAAATAAAAATGATAGCATTTCTGAAGCATAATGGGCCTTAAAGATATGTCAAAACATCCGTTTTTCCCAGCTCTATTTAGTTGTTTTATATTATTATTTTTATTATGCACACAGTTACGCTTTTTGTTGTTTTTTCCCCAATTTTAATATAAATCTCTTAAGGGATTGATTTTTTTGTAATGAAAACAAAAATGAATGTTAACGGCAATGAACATAATATTATTATATGCTATTGCCATACTTTTTTCCTTTGATAAATAACCAAACAGCAACAAGAATTTGATGCCACTATGATTTTCTTATTAAAACACTTGTCATTGTTTTACACGAGACCATAAATTTACACGATCTAAGATACTCATTATTATTTTTAAATCAATTATGTGAGTAATAATTTATCGAAAGTAAGAAAGAGGCTTGACATTCACGACATTCAATCATGCATCGGTATATTCGAATTTGAAAAATAAACTTTCAACAGTGTACTGTTTAATAATGGTTGTTTTTTATCCGGATGTAAACAGTTTAGATCAGTGGATACATAATGAGCGTTTTTTCTACTTATATACCTGTTTATTCTAATACCATGACAGCATTTATTGTTCCGGGTTTACAATTAAGTGAACAAATTTATTCATCTGTAGCCGAATCGTACGAGCTTGCCGAGGTATATTAAGTATAACGTTACTCAGAATATAAAAGAATGCTTTTAAAACTGTTAGCCAAAACTGCTTCAGAATTTCACGAAGACATAGTCAGATTAAGATAAACAAGTTGTTTACATAAAATTTAAAACAGTATCAATTATGTTTGCAGAGAGAATGAAAACTTACTAAATGGCGGGAGGGAAGGAAAAGAGCCGGGACTCAAATAAGAAACATGTTAGCTTTGTCAACATCGAGACGCTACCGCAAAAGATACCACTGACCAGTACGACTGGCGGGCTTCTACTGCACGTGAAGGGGGACGGGAAATTGTGCATCCGGTCGACCAGTCTAGATAATAAAAATGAAACGGATATCGATATTCTTTTAAAAATTAGAAACCAGTCAAAACCGGTTACGTTGCTGTTGCCACACGAGGAAGCGCAGACGAGCTTGGAAATAAATGGTGACGGAGATATTCAGTTTTCTCTGAAAGACGCAGACGAATGCAATCGAAATAAATATCAAGATGAAGAAAACAATCTGAATGATTTGAACGCAGGAACTGATGATAATGAACGCCATAAGAAGACGCATCGTCGTAACAATAGTGACTACCTTCAAATATCAGGAAAGGATAGTGATGACGAAAGCAATAAAGATATCGAAACTAAAGATTGCGGCACCGATGTTTGTTCCATAGACATTCTGCTTTCGGACGAGTCCACAGACTTTGATAGTGCCTTAACTACCGGTTGCTTTAAGTGTAGTAATTTCACTGACGTTCCGTGTGAAAAATGTAAATCCGCGGCAGAAAATAGGTCTGTGGAAAAGTCTTATGAAAGGGATGCCAGTGATAAAGAAAACTGTGTTAAGTTGCAGCACATTGTGGACACGGTATTAAGGTTTGAAAAGTTGCAGCCTCTAGACCCTAGGTCTATGCTTTCCGATGCCAAATCTTGCGAACCCGACTGGGGTGAAAGCAATGTGGTGTGTCTTAAAGATTCTATCAGAAAATCATACACATATCTCTTGGACGTGCTAGATTTACTTGACCTTTGTGACCATTTGTACGAGAACTATGTGCTAGAAATGGACTTCTATCAGAAAATGTTCGATATGTGCTATGAGCCGCGTTACATAAGAAGTGCAAAAAGGTCTCTCTTGATGCACTTGTCGAAAAGGTCAGTACGCCAGGATAAAATGATAAACGCTTTATATGGTTCCGCCCAATACCAGCTGATTCCGTACTTCTTCCCGGAAGTCAAAATCTAAAGTCTGTGCCGAAACGGTATGCGTGTTTGCAAGTTGATGGATTTTATGCCCGGTTCAATATGTTATGTTAAGCATGATAATTTTATTGAAACGTTTTTCGTTTGAAATAATTATACGCATTTGTTGATCTTTTTTAAAAGTATCTGGTATTTTGATTGAAGGGTTTTCATGTATAAAATTGTCCTGAACATTTACGTTTGTATGCTTGTCTGGTATTGTATTTTTTGTATTTTTAATAATTTGATCTCGTTCGTAGTATAGTTTTTTCATTACCAATGTTTCATATTTTATATAGTCGTCCATTACTTAGTGTTCCTTTGTCAGGGTTCTTCCCTTTCTAAGGGTTCCGTCATTTTGTGTTCGGTTGTCCATTTATATGTTGTTCAGTTAAGTGTAGAAAAGTGATTAGATATCGTACAAATTTTATGCACACGTTTTTGCCCTATTTATACGCCCGTGGTTTGAATTTGATAGGGCATTTTATAAATTTAAAGATAAAGTTTCGTGTAAAATAAACGTTACCGGATTTTATTTCGCTATCTGTCAAACTGCAACCTTATCAAACCGCAAAATTACGTCACATGCGAGTGAAGAAGTGACATAAGGACCTTTCTGGTTTTGATGACACCATCAAAAATGAGATGATAAACCGCTTCGATAAAGTTATAAGGATTTTGTAAGATAACGTGAAAATAGCCTGTGAGTAAACAGGTTTTTGAAAATGCTCGTCAGAATTTGTGTTCAATTATTGGCTAGAAATGACACATCGAACAAATATTTGTTTTATCAGGTATATCTGCAGTGTTAACAGAGTTTTAATTAGACGAGTAATCAATACAGGTAGGCGTTCTCACGTTGATGCCCAGCTGTTACGCATGCGCAGATGTGACAACAATAATCGTGTCGTTATAGGTTATTTTATGCTGTATGTAGGAATTTACCTACGTATATGTTTTTCTTGAAATGTACACTTATTGAACCTTTTTGAAGAAAAAAAAAAGAATTAAAAAAGCAATCTCAAGTCTTAAGAATTCTGTTAACACTATAGGATATTTAAGAGGGCTTTTCTACGATTTCATATTAATTATTAATGCTTTTTTGGGACCTTTTATTCAGGGGGATTGCAAGGGGGGAGCTAGGGCAACGGGCATAATAAGCACACAATCACCAGGGAAATGTTTTACATTCCAAAGTGACCTTTGACGTCATTTCATCGAAAATATGTACACATATATAACAGAAAGTTTTCAATCTTTCTACGAATTTTCACATTCCAAAGTTATTTTTGAAATTGTATATATGTTTTCCGAGACACCTTATTTTGTTCCAAACTTCTATTTTTACCCATTTTGTATTGCTCACGTCCATCAGTTTGTCATTGCTATTTGATAGGGTCAGGCGCATCTGTTGTTTTTTTTTACCATATTTTTCGTTTGCTTTAACACAGGGTTTTCTTTGATGCAACCTCTTTGTGCCTTACATTTCACATATCTATGGAATTACCATCTTTTAAAACCATTGTTAAAAATCAGTTATGCTTTTCCAGATATGGTAAAGGCGTTTTATTTTACCCTGAAACATATTTTAACTGATTTTTGTGATGCCAAAGTTGTTATATTTGTAAGCCAAAATTTACATCTTACTTTAATAGTGGTATTCCATTTTAAAGTTTGTATACTACATGTGATTAAACTGTAATATGTTTTTTACCCTCATGAAAAATCGATTTTGCATTTCTTTTCGGCAAAATCGGTCAATTTTTGGGGAAATATGACGTAATTTAATCTTTTTTTCAAGCCGTCTGCTCCAGTCTTGTTTATTTCGTTTTTTCGACAAGAGTGGCGGGAAAAGTGTTTGAAATAATTATAATTGTTTATGAATAATGAATAATTTTTAAAATGTTTGTTTACATTCTTAAGAAACATATCCATTTGTGTTTAAAATCGTGATTTTTTTCTCTTGAATGCTTATGGTAGAGTTTCCTTTCACTGTGCAGGGTTTTCTTTCTTTTTTTACCATTTTCAAAACGTATTTTATATGCATGTATGTATTTTTTTGTTCACATGTTATGCAGGTTGTTTGAACTTGAAAAATTATTTTTACGTTTCATTTGTAATTATGTTTCATAAGTCATTTTATTGTCACACTAGTTTTATTGTAACACACTTTGTTTGTTGGATAGACTGACCACTCTTGAAGAGCGGTACAATATGACTGGTTTGTAAGCTAATATGTTCACTAGAGTGTCGCATTAAACTAGGTTTGTAGACCAGTCTGTTCACGAGAGTATAATTTTACAGAGGGTTTTCAAACCAGTCTGCCCACTCGTGTGTTATCATAGAAGTTATTATAACCATGATGCTAGGTCTGTTCACCAGAGTGTTGTATTATAATAATTTGTTTAGACAGGTTTATACGTTGTATGTAAAATATTCTTTATTTTCATGTCATTCAGTTCACAAGAGTGCATTATTTTATGCCAGTCAGTTCACAAGAGGGCATTCTTTGACGTGACAGTCTGTTCACAAGAGTAAATTGATGCAAGGTCTTTATATTTGAAAGACCCTGGTTGATGTAGTGGATTTTTAGATGTCTGTATTCACACATGTGCAATGTTGTACACGAGTGCACGTTTCAGACCGGTTCGTTGACAATCTTGAGTGTTAATTAAGCTGCACGTGATCAGGTTTCGTAAAGCGGAACTGTTCACGAGTGTGCAAAGTCTGTGATTATGTTTGTAGCACATTTTTTACGCACGTGTGATAATTCACAGATTTAATACATTTGTCAAAACAGAATGGCTCTCTTTAGTTTGAAGACAGGTGTAATCAAATTCATGATATATGAAATAACCTGACTTTGTCACTTGTCTCCGAACTGAAAACTGAATGTTACTGAATGAAGTAGCCTATGAAAAAATAAAATAAAATTATAAAATATGATAAATAATAAATACTTTGAAAGAAATACCTTTCTTTGTAGTTTTTTGTTTGTTTTTCTTTATAACAACCTTATTTTTTATTGCGAAGACATAATGCTTACAGGATAACCTCTGCATAACCGCTTTCTGTGTGTAGCAATAAGTTCCTTATAATAACAGTATTATTCCCCCCCCCCCCCCCAAAAAAAGGGAAAAAGAAGAAAATGACTTCGTATTCAATTTCATCACCTCTCACCATGGCAACCGCCTCCGTTGTCGAGGGGTTAGAGTCGATGACTTCTAATCCAGTTACCTCTCTGGCGTGGGTTCGATCCCCGGGAGATGCTTTGGTAGTTTAGCGCGGAGGAAGGTAGTCTAGTACTGGTGTAACTCTCCAGGAACGATGGTTAGGAAACTAACCGCCTATATGACTGAAATACTGTTGGAAAAAGGCGTAAAATGAAACAAACAAACAAACAAAACCAATAACCAAAAATCTTCATCTCCCAAAGAGTGTGCGTTGCTATGCCGAGATTGGACTCGCCAACAACCAAATTCTTTTTTTCCCAAAGGGTGTCGCTCTGCAAAGGTTTTACTTGAAACGAATAGATATTGAAAGTTTCCTTCGTCATAGTGCGTTTAAGATATCATAAAGTGTATTTACATTCATAACTCATACATCATAAAGTGTCTTACATTTATAAAACAAGAGTCAATAAAAGAGCGGTATTTACTTCCTTTTCTTGCAGTCACCACAAGTAATTTACAATGGCCTCATAAAATAATTTTAAACCTTGCCATTCAAATTTCTTTGTGGATAATCCAGTTCGTTGATTCTTAATGGGCGCAGTAGCTTTGGCATAATTATATAGATTTAAAATGCAGGATGTGCAATTTATAAAACGTAATGTGCATATTGAACTATTAAAAGATTTTAAAGATATTGCAATAAGTCTATTGGGTATTTAATTATCAGAATGAAGCAATGAAGATGCATTTTTGGCGTTAAACTATGGTGGCTGATTTGGTACACTGCGCGTTGTGTTGTCGATTGTGACAACACAACCTATATTGTTATGGCTTTTTCGTCTTGTCGCTAGCGACAAAGCGCCAAACGACACACTGTCGTCTTGTCGTCATGTCCCTAGCTTCTGAAGCACGCCAAACGGCGCGTTGTCGTGCAGCGCGATGTCTCCATGTCGCTTGGCTTATAAGCCAATCCTTCAATTTGAACCGAGCGACAATGTGACATCGGGACAACACGCCGCACGACAACGCACCATTTGACGTACATCGTTTGTGACAGGACGACAAGACGAAAGTCCGACAACGCGCCGTTTGGCGCTTTGTCCTGTTGTCGCTAGCGCCAAAACGACGCACAAAAGCGTTCCAAATCAGCCACCATATTTAACACCATTGGTACGTAACCGTCTCGAGGATGTGAGGTTAATGTTCGAATCTGGCTAATAATGGTTGTGTAGCAATAAACAAATTGAAAAGTTAACGAAACAACATTTTCCCATATGTTCACTGCTACACAGGGTCATTGTGAGCGTTCTCCATAGGGCAAAAAAAGCAAGGTCGGTGCAATAGATCAAAAGGAAAATGTAACAGTATGGTCGGTCATTTATTTTTTATCTATTTACTTTTTCAAATTATTTCTATTATTATTTTTGTTTTGTTTTGTTATTTTGACATCTCTCCCCTCATATGTAACGCTTTTAAACCTGAAATAAAACAAAATGTGGTAAATAAACTATGAATTGCAAGTGATCACCCTTAACCGGAAGTGATTAATTAGCCTTTGTCACAGCACATCCGACGAGACTCTATGCTATCGCTTATCTAGCTTTTGTGTTTTATTCAGTTTGTTTAAACATTATTTATGTATGCTCGACTGTTAGGAAGGTTTGCAGTTGTTTTTCTAACCACTCTTTAGAGTCTGTTTCCTGAAAACTCACCAGTACTGGTGCCATACTAGTATGAAAGAAAGGTCGTGATCAGAGATGGGTTCCAACCCATGATTTTAGAGGTTTTGAGGCAAATGCATACGCAACTAGTTTACCCCTGTCACATCTTAAGTACTCGTATTTTGATGCTAAAACCCGCAGACACTACATGTACTATAACAAGCAAATTCGTTGAATTTATATCCCCGCCGAGCACTGGTTATTACGAACACAACAATTGGAGACATAAGGCTTTATTCATATATTTATCATGACATGCAAATCCCCTTTTCGTTTTGATGGTTCCTATAAAATATTGTTGAAATCATTCCATAACGATATTGCTCTATTTGCATACTGCACAATTAATCAAGGACCATAACTCTGTGTTGAAAGGTCTGACCGGAACAAGGCAACGATATGCGCATCTCCCCTTGGTATTGATTGTTCCAATAAAGTTTCATTAAATTCCAGCCAGTAGTTGCAGAGAAATAGCGAAGTCAGCTGCATAACTAATAAAGGGCCATTACTCTGGTGTTGAAAGGTTTATCATGTTTAAATAGTAAAGGCATGCCTTGATATCAAATTTAGATAATAAAGCTTTGCATATATACCAGACGTACATTAAGAAGGCGTGCCTTGATATCAATTATAAATAGTAAAGGTTTGCCTTAATATAAGAATATAATAGTGCAAATGTGCCTTCATATTTTTATTTCAATAGTGAATGCATGCCTTGATATTAGAGTAGGCGAGTTCGTAACTCCAACTTACTGACCCCATCCAATATGTCCGACATGTATGAGTGAATAAGAAGAACATCATATACCTGCGACGGCTGACTGGAACCCTGCATTGTAATCGCATGCCACTTCGTTTGTCACATAGTCAGTTCTTTTATCGTTGTAGTCATCATTTTTACCAGGGCCACCGACCAACGCCCCGTACAGAACATGTGGGTTGGGTGCGTCCAGGTTCATTTGGAATGATGCGCATGGAGCTGGCTTCATTGGGCACGAACTACGAAATAACATGAGAAACTATTGAAGAAAAATGGTATAAACTGGTAGAAAATTGAATAAAATGAATTTTATTATTTTATGCACGTGAGCTATAGCTTTCAAAGGCCCTTTCACACATCGCTGTTTCTTTATATTGAAAGAAATAGGTTTGTATAAGTGGTTGATTAACTGTAAACCTGCTGTATTTGTGCAATCTATTTGGACTGCTTTGAATTAAGATTATTTTATTTAAGAGCTTTTTCAATATCATACTACAAAATTTTACTTAGCTAACATTGTACCAACTGTATAGAACCGGGTCACATTGCATGAACAGGCAGGCTGGACTGTACCTATACTGGTGGCAAACACTAATCACTTCCGGTTCAAATAGGGTACAGGTTAATATCAGACAAATATTAAAAACTAGAACTGTGTCCAAAGGACACGGATGTCCCAAATAACAACATATATATGGTATATAGTGAAAAATCAACAAAGGGCCATAATTCAGTTAAATTTGGTGGCAGCAAAAATTCCTTCTTTTACTTCCATCTACACATTAAGGTTGTTCATCCCTGGAAGTTTAAGCAAAATTTGCCATCCGCTTTAAGAGGAGTTGCGTTCACAAAATTTCTACATAGTATATAGTGAAAAAATCAACAAAGGGCCATAATTCTGTTAAATTTGGTCGCAGCGAAAATTCCTTCTTTTACTATTATCTACACATTAAGGTTGTTCATCCCTGGAAGTTTAAGCAAAATCTGCCATCCGGTTTAAGAGGAGTTGCGTTCACAAAATTTCGGGACGTACGGACAGACGTACGTACGGACGGACAAGTGCAACGCTATATGCTCCCCACTTTGTGAGGGGCATAAAATTTTTTAATGTTATCAAATATTTCTATTATTGATTTTCACCTTCCCCTATGATGGGGCTGCTGCGGTGGATTCTTTCCGAATCCTACGACAAAGCTCCGCCCACTGTCTCCTAATGTATAATTAATCTGGGACTCCGCCCACTTTCTATATTGGTCAGGATGAATGCCTTGCATCGAGGCCATTATGGCAATAAGTGCCATATTTGCTGAAAAATTTTGTACAATGTATAATTTTAACAAGAACAATCACATAAAAACAGTCGCATCAACTTTTTATATGTAGTTGATTCAAGACCATGATCCATTTTCTAATTTCAATGATGTACCAACGTACACTTAATCATTTACATGTATACCCAATGTTAGATGCATTTACATATCCCTCTATTCTAACACACTTACCACTTACAAAATTGTGCATGCTCATGGATTACTCAATTTCTTCTTTTTGTCTATTTGAAGTTTTGTACATTTTATCACGGATTTATATTACAATATTAATTGTAATATAAATCCGTGATTTTATGCACATTAACTCGTTTAACTTTAACGTAACACAAAACACACTGATCAACCTAATGTACAGTGCAACCTCTGCAGAAAGGCCCTGTGTAGAGCAATAACGGCTTTACAACTTTGAAAAGTATTTTTACTTCTCTTAAGGAACACTTCTAAGCATAAACCTAAAAATTGCTTGTTCAATGGGTGTTGCTTTGTACAGGTTTTACTGTATTTTGGTCAAAACAATGCTATACTTTCATTGAGAGACAGAGAAAATAAATAATTTCAAAATAAATTCTATCACATCAAATCAAATTGTGGCGGGACTGTCCTGGGCGGATATAAGTTATAGTATCAGAAAGTAATAAATAGCAAAAAAAAATGTATTTCGGACAAAAACTACAAAACTATCGGACATGTTTAGTTAAATTGCACACACACTTTCCTTGTTGGAATATAATGACCTAAATACTGCTGCCATAGTTACCAGCGTATCTGTTACTTCCCCATTGACTCCTGAAGGCCAGACCTTTAGGCGTGTATGGCACAGATCCACCAGGCATCCAGTCCGTGAATGTCGCTTCAATGTCTTTCAAATAAATGTCCTTATGTGTCACTTTATACAAAAGTACCTGTAACAGAAAGAAGGCAGACTACAGGCATTCAACTCGAAACCATGTCTTGAAATGCTCAATGATTCTAAATGAAATATCACAATAAGAATATTTTGTGACACGTTTTCCAATGAAATATCAGTGTATTTAGGACACGTTATGTAGCCAATATAAGGTCATATGCCTAACAGACCTTTTTACAATGTGCATCGTTGATTTGCAGAATGTTTTCTCGCCTCGCGCATGGGCACACAACTTTTGCCCAAAGGATAATAATCAATTTCCAAAATTAGACTATATATTATAATATAGATGTTTTTGTTTTTTGTTTTATGCAGGGAATCTGTACATATCATATGTTTTACATTGTTCGATAAGTGTCTGGATGTACTTGAGCTATGAACCCTGTATCATGTTTTTGTTTATCTTTTATATATTCTTTGTAGTTTTAATCACATTCATGTAATATGCCATGATTAAATAAATAAACTAATAAACTAAACTAAACTCCATAAGTCATCGTCAGTGCGCAAAACCAAGTCCTACGCAGTGGCCCCCCTTTGCTTCGCTACTACTAGGACAATGAGTATGAATGATGACGTGTTTTTGACATTAACAAGGAATACACCCTTACCATGCATCCTGAGATTTTCTCGTCCCACGATTGACCCCAAGCAGCTCCCGTGGTATAAAATGATTCGGCAACGGTTAGGTAATGCGGGTCTTTTGTCGCAAGATACATCCAAGCGCCTCCCCAACACATTTCATCAGTTTCATCAAACGATCTATGAATATACATTGTGTTTAAATATTTCATTTTTCAATAAAGGATGCAACTAATGGTAATGAAGAACATGTCGATAGATTTAAACATGCGGAGCTACTATGTTTTATTTACTTGACACACTGACCACATTTAAAGCAGTGTCCGTTTTCAATGGGATAAGATAAAACAATTTTAAGACAACATAGACCCCGAAAGTTTCATTCGAGAATGCTTGAGAACAACAGTTACAACAAAATACCTGTAAAATCCGGCTGCAGCTTGGACACTGTCCGAGTACTTGCCAGGATGAGCCTCAGCAAATGCAAACAGTTCTTTCGCGTGACGTAATAATTCGGCAGCGTAAGTTGCGTCTGAAAAATCATACATGAAATTTAGATACTTGACACTTTGTTTAATAACTGCATATAATCAGAATATTTTTTTTTCTGTCAGTCAAGCAGTACTTTATACTTGTTTCTGGTATTTTATCTATTTCCTATGCTGTCCTTGCAAAATCATTGAATGCATCTTTACTAAGTCTTGAGTACACATTAATAATAACATGTGTACAATCAATTTCTAGCAGGCAATATTCTTACTTAAAACGAATTACACTTTAACTTCGTTCGCTTGAGCTCGGATCGCCCGAATACACCACTTCCATTGAACACACCGGCATTTCCCAGCAAAATCTCATCATACACGTACATGCATTATATATTGTTCTACCCCGGATACACCGAGCGTTCAAACTTTCCAACCTGATCACTGGTCTCTTGGTCAGAAATATAGTGGAGCACACACCTTTTCGATCGAACACAAATAGACAACAAAGGTAGATAAGTCGACTTTATGTTCATGTATATCACAAGAAAATACTATAATGTTTCCGTCATTTTTACTGATTGCAAAAAAATAAGCTTCAAAAGCAATCATCCAATGATAACGTGAGTTGGAAAGAAGAAATGAACGTTAACATCATGTCAGCAGTGTCATCAATAAACCGTTATCACATAAATGCGAACCAGCGATCGAAAGCATACCATTGCACACTAAAATTTAAATTGATATACAAGGCTAAACGCAACAAAACTAAAATATAAGCAAAAACTCACTTTTGCTCTTGAAGACCATAGAACTTGCTGCAAATGCCGCAGCTGTTTCTGCTGCAACATCGCTACCAGGGTGAGATTCGTCAATTTTGTACGCTGGTCTATCCATTGTCATGTCCTCAGGCCGTCCCCAAAATGAGTGGTCTTTGCCAGCCTCACCAACCTATTGAGGACAAATAAGACAGACTCCGTACTCTAGCTACTGTATTTATGCTCTTCATCCGATAAATATATTAATTTCAATGTATATATTACCTTGAATAAAAATATGTTTAAACCAATGATAGATTAATTTAACAATTCATATAACGAAAATAGAATATAGTAGAATATACGAAAAAGATACATGGCGTTCAAAGATATTTCAATGACATCTTATAAAAAAGCACAACGTAGTCTAAGCCTATACGGCAACATTGGATATCCTCTTTATTAATTCCTATGTCGTCAAAGAAAAGCAGCATGATACCTAAGGTCAAGAATAACTGTTTCGCTGACAACAAGGTAAAAATGTCAGTTTAAACGCTTAAAATTATCCATTTTCTTCGTTTCCTGAAGAAATGAAATTAAAGTTCTATCTGACCTTGATCATACGACGCAAAGGTCAAATGAAAAAGAGCTTTTACTTTACCGAAAAAGCAATGTATTAAAATTTCCTCTTGTAATCTTTTGGAAAACGAAACATATTGGCACTTAAATGTCTATGAAATATCGAAGCAACAAAAGCAAATATAAAAAGTCCGTGGCTCAGTTAAGATTTGTGGCAATCTGAGCCCAAACATTGTCATATCAAGTAAGAAACTTCTAGCCCATACTTGTACATAATAAACGTTTGGTGATACGTGACATCTCATGAGGTAGTCGAGCGGCCATTTTATAGAGTCGTACATGTGTTCCAGTTCTCCGGCGGCGCTATATGCGTCCTTGAACTCCAGTAAACCCCACGCTAGTGACGTCACAGAGAAAGCCATTGGAAAGTTGAACTTGATGTGATCACCGGCTTAAATTTAAAATGCATGATATTTGTCGTAAAAAATGTAGTTTTATAAGGTAAAACTTTAAAACTCAGAATCTGTCAGATAAATCCAGAGAAAAATATGCAACACATTTGATTTCGAATCATTGCATAAATTGTGATTTTATAATTACAATTACTACATGTATAAATATTCCCAAGACCGTCGACTCGGACTGGTGGAGACCGTCGACTAGTAGGTTATATTTACAAATCACAAAGTAGAATTGTAGAAACCTACACTAATCGACAGTCTCCTCGGGTCGCTCTCGATTTTGACGAGACCGTCGATTAGTAGCTCGGCCCTTGAGAGGCTGTGATTGTCTTTCCACCACAGTCATGTGATGGAAATCGTTTGAAAATTACATCGTATGTCTAAAAAGGAATGCCTAAAGGAACATTGCAGCTTTGATGGCGAGATAATGTGGAAGTACGTACCATCGTACCATCCCCCTGTTAGGTCCTCCCCATTATCACCTCTGTCATTGAGGGCGGAGTTACCCCTCCATGGAATGCGATTATCCGGCGGGAGCTTGCCCGATCTTTGGGCCTCATAAAACAGTATGGACTTCTCGAGGACTTCATTCAAGTCATACGATGTGCCGTCAGCTGCAAATATGTTATTGTGTGATGCAAACAATATGTCATCAATGCAAACAATAAGTAATGAATGCCATTAAGCCATGTTAAATTATTTTTAATCATGAGTAACATATGTATGGATATATTCTGTCATTTAGTATCATCCAATAACATGAAATATCATTTATAAAATTGAGTACTGATGGTATCCTTTCAACTGCCAAACAGCGTACATGCCAGAAATACTGCACGGACATGCGCAGCCAATAATATTCTCTTTTACTAGTTCCTTTTTTTCCATTTTTAAAGCGGGAACTAAGCCATCAATATAAAATGCAGTATGGAAAAAAAAACGAAATGAAATAGGAAGTTCATGACTGGCTGTATTTCAACACTTGACACAATACGAATCGTTTAAATTTCTACAAATTGTTTTTTTTTTTACAGTTATGCATATACCATCAGTGAAAATAGAACTATATGTATGCAAAAAGTAAAAAGGAAACAAGGAAATATGGGAGCTTACTGTCAGGTTTGGCTGTAGGCGGCGTAAAGCTGTCTTTACCAAGATTTAAAAACTCTGCTGTCGCAGTTGGAGGAGTACTTCCTGGATAATTGACTGAAATAATAATAAGGATTATTTTTACTACAAGAAATGTGCAACATAATAGACAGTTGGTATAGCCATAAAATATAAGAGCAAAGGTCAGCAATCAAAGGGGAACAACTTTCATGTAACGCAGTCTCCATGGCCATTGACACAGGACCACCGTAACGGCGTCTAGAGGGGCATCGGATAGGAAAGGGGGAAAAGGGGGTGAGGAGGGGCTTTGGGGGCAAACTGTTAAATTTTATCAAAATCGCTTCAAATCATTTAAGTAAAAACTTAAAACGAAAAAGTAACACTCCTGGCATTAATTTGGCTGAGTTCAATAGCCATTCTTACAATTCTTATAAGTCGAGTCACAAATTTATTAATGCTTACTGAACATTTCTACTTTCAGCGTGTCTCCAGGATGAAGTATACCGTTGTGGGGTTTATTGACCAAGGTGAACACTTTATTATCAGCTGAATGGGCAACAAAATCTCCCATCCATTCCTGCAAGACAGTATGATATCTAACAATGTAAATATCACTTTTAGAAACCATCTGTTACCATAAGTAACTGGCAATTGTCCGATCGCAATGATTATGAATAGTGTATACAATGTGTACTGGCACAGTATTTCTAAGATGAGTTAATTTTTTAATTCCTCAATACTCATCGAAAACAGACGGCGTGTGAGCTTGTGAAATTTCGACATATTTCGTGAAAGGCCCCTTATGACTCAGCAATGCTATCATTTTTATTTCTCAAACTATTTTTATGTTTGGTATCTTGTTACAGTCATACTCATAAAAATGAATGCTCACACGCAAAGTCCAACAGGTTTGTTTAAGCGATAAATAAATAGTTGAAAATTTATATGTCTTACATCAATTTTTCCAACAGGGGCTGAAAAGTCTACCATCAGTTGCCAACCATTGGTTTCCTCGGTAATAGGAACGGATAACTTGGCGTGGATTCTTCCATCCCAATTATCGAGAACTTCCATTTGGACAGTGGATCCATATGTTAACCCAAGAAGGGTTACGAGGAATACAGCTATCTTCATGTTGGTCTGAATTTCCTTTTTTAAAGATACAAATGTTATTATGTGCCTATTGCGCATTTAAACAAAATACACAAATTTCAATTAGTAAGACGATGAGGAAGCTTCATTAACATTTAGATATTTTTAGTTGTTGATTCTATGCGATAAGTTAATTAAAAAATGGACTGCATGTACATTAGAAATGTTAATGGAAATGCGCCAAACATCCCTCGCCATGCAAGATTTAAGCTAAACAATCACCATGAGACCTAGCTAGCTATATAACCTTTTATCAACAGTTCGGCTGAACTTTAAACAATCACACCAAACAAATAAAGATAATTATAAACACAAAATTATATAACTGTATGCAATTTTAAAGGCACATTATAACTCAGAAATGAATATATTTTCACTTCTTTAAAAATGGCAAACGTGAATTTGATAAGCTTTAAATAATGGTTTTAGAGCATGTAAGATGCTTGTTGTCGAAGAAAATAGCACTAAATGTCATAAAAGTAGCAAAATGTAAACCAAGTAGTATTGTCACTTCCATACAAAATACTATACATGTATATACAATGTATCACTATAACTGTACTAATTGCCAAATAACAACAGAAGAACAAGATGGTTAAGGTAACTGGCCAATGTGTAACATTTAAGAAACTATAAAAATACATCAAAAACGATTTTTTTAAGAAATAAAAATAAATGTATTCCTTGAGCATAATAAGATCTAATTTGAATTTTACGTAAAACTTTAGCGTAATCTAATCTTATGCGTCATGAAAATAAGTAAACTGAAATGGTGATGCAAAATCAGGAAAATACATTGATTGTAATAAATTATGAATCTATGCTAGAATTAATCAACTCGTTAAATAAATTAAAAAATAAATAATACGATGTAGCAAATGCACATACTAGCTACTGACTAGTTCCCTGTACTATGTTGGTCTATGTTATCTCATCTTTATATAAAATCATCAAAAATCGGTTTAGACATAGCTTTTGACCTCACAGTTTTGAAAATTCAAACATCTCTGAATAGAATATTATATAATTATATTAAAGGTCAAAATTCGTTCGTCAGTTCACGTTCTGTCACAGATAAGATGGCTAATTATGATGGCGTTCTGATAAGACGTCAGAGCACTAAAATTTGACACCGTCCAAGAATGGTGGAATGAGCCAAAAGTTCATTCGGAACTGCCTCGGCTATTATCTATAATACTGAAGACTGGCGGAAAGGGCCGAGTAATTGCGATTGCCAAAAAGTTCAGTCGCAAATTTTCGGCCCTTTCCTTGCGAAAAGTTGACAATCGCATCTTCTCGGCTCTTTCCGTCAATCTTCGGATAATTCTTATTTATGAATAATAGCCGAGTTTATTCTATTGAAATTTTGCAATTTCATTCGGAACATATCGTCTATTATCGAAAAGCATCCGAAGATTCACGGAAATGAGTTTATCTGGTTCCCTGTTCTATTATGGTTCCAATCCAGATCGCCAACATATTTAGCCATCTTATCTGTGACAGGAACGGCATCGCTTTCAAAATTGTGAAAGATCGCCGATGATTGGCTGTTTGAAAGGTCACGAGGTGACCTGCTATTGGTGCCCGTCAGATCTTAACCCATTACTTCATATACACGCCTTTTAACGCCTTTTTCACCCCCCCCCCCCCCCCTTTTGTTGTCTCAAATGATGAAAAAAATGCCTTATTTAGGCCCCAAACACTTGATTTTGTGTTTGAGAAATGTTGTTAAAAAAAGTGACCTCTTTTTCGGCGCGGCCCCCCAACCAAAAGATACATCAGGGGGTTGCCAGAAGGGGGATGTGCCCCCTTCTGTTTGGGGGGTTTGAAGGGGGCGGCAGCCCCCCTCATCGCCAAGAAAATTTTGGACTTGTTAGAGGCTAAAAGTGACCCCAGATTGATCATAAGTAACGTGTAACTAACGCTGAAAAGCATTTGACTCTATCTCAATCCATTGAGAAGTTGCAGCACTTTGAAATCAATTTTGATGGAAAAAATCAACGCAAAGTATTTATTTTTTTTTGGCAATTTTGAGATTTCCCCTCGTTGCCATGGTAACAGAAAATTTAAGCCTGAGCATATTGTTGCAAAGGCAATGGTCCAATAAACATTTGTGCAAAGTTTGATTAGTATTGAAGCAGTTTTTATAGTATTATAGCAATTTGAACTTGTAACGGGAGACTTTTCAATGAAAACAGCCATTTTTCACAAAATGCTCATGAAGCAATGGGTTAATGAAAAAAATCAAAAAAATCTACAAAACAACAATTTTTCTTCAAATTTATATGTTCATTTTCTGTTAACCCATTACTTCATATACACGCCTTTTAACGCCTTTTTCACCCCCCCCTTTTGTTGTCTCAAATGATGAAAAAATGCCTTATTTAGGCCCCAAACACTTGAATTTGTTTGAGAAATGTTGTTAAAAAAGTGACCTCTTTTTCGGCGCGGCCCCCCAACCAAAAGATACATCAGGGGGTTGCCAGAAGGGGGATGTGCCCCCTTCTGTTTGGGGGGGTTTGAAGGGGGGCGGAGTCCCCCTCATCGCCAAGAAAATTTTGGACTTGTGAGAGGCTGTAAATGACCCCAGATTGATCATAAGGTAACGTGTAACCAACGCTGAAAAGCATTTGACTCTATCTCAATCCATTGAGAAGTTGCAGCACTTTGAAATCAATTTTGATGGAAAAAATCAACGCAAAATAGTGATTTTTGGCAATTTTGAGATGTCCCCTCGTTGCCATGGTAACAGAAAATTTAAGCCTGAGCATGTTGTTGCAAGGGCAATGGTCCAGTCAACATTTGTGCCAAGTTTGATTAGTGTTGAAGCAGTTTTTATAGTATTATAGCAATTTGAACTTGTAACGGGAGACTTTTCAATGAAAACAGCCATTTTTCACAAAATGCTCATGAAGCAATGGGTTAATGAAAAAAATAAAAAAATCTACAAAACAACAATTTTCATCATTTTCTGTTAACCCATTACTTCATATACACGCCTTTTAACGCCTTTTTCACCCCCCCCCCCTTTTTGTTGTCTCAAATGATGAAAAAATGCCTTATTTAGGCCCCAAACACTTGTTTTTGTTTGAGAAATGTTGTTAAAAAAAGTGACCTCTTTTTCGGCGCGGCCCCCCAACCAAAAGATACATCAGGGGGTTGCCAGAAGGGGGATGTGCCCCCTTCTGTTTGGGGGGGTTTGAAGGGGGGCGGAGTCCCCCTCATCGCCAAGAAAATTTTGGACTTGTGAGAGGCTGTAAATGACCCCAGATTGATCATAAGGTAACGTGTAACCAACGCTGAAAAAGCATTTGACTCTATCTCAATCCATTGAGAAGTTGCGGCACTTTGAAATCAATTTTGATGGAAAAAATCAACGCAAAATAGTGATTTTTGGCAATTTTGAGATGTCCCCTCGTTGCCATGGTAACAGAAAATTTAAGCCTGAGCATGTTGTTGCAAGGGCAATGGTCCAGTCAACATTTGTGCCAAGTTTGATTAGTGTTGAAGCAGTTTTTATAGTATTATAGCAATTTGAACTTGTAACGGGAGACTTTTCAATGAAAACAGCCATTTTTCACAAAATGCTCATGAAGCAATGGGTTAATGCGTACGTAGCGTTAATAAGGAGCCGAATTTTACCAGATTTAATTCAAAACTCTAGATATAATCACAGATATACATAACGTCTATTAAACTCCATGATATAATCTACAAAATATGTGAAAAATTAAAAACCGGTAAGGAAGAATTATTTCCGCTTCTCGGCAGCCAGGTTGCGTAACTCTCTACAGGGCACATTCAGACAGCTAGCGTTCATCTTACCACAGGACGCGTTCATTGGTCGCTACCCGGCGCCCCCGGGCCTCCTCCTCCTTTACTCACTCTTCAACCCTTCTATGTAGCTCTCCAAACCAATGTTAACTGCAGTATTTTTCATTTCGAATATGTTTTAATATTTAATATATATGTTTTTAATTCCATTTCCTTCATTCCCCGCAAAAAAGATACAGATATTTAGTCCTAAATATCACAGAGATATATTTTTATATGTAAGTCTCTGTTCACATATCTTTTTTGTAGGGAATAAAGGAGATTGAATTGGAAGCATATATCAAATATTAAAACATATTCCGAATGAAAAATACTACTGCATATTACATTGTTTGGGAGAGGTATGAGGGTTGGAGACTGGGTGGGTTAAGGGGGAAGTGGGGATGACCAATAAACGCGCCGAACACCTGTGCATCTTACAAGCTCTAGTCCAAGTCCATGTTTTTCAGTATGGATTATCTGTATTTGTCATTGGTCTGCATGTGCCATGAAGGGAAACCCAATGACAAAAGCATTTAAATAAATATATATTTTTGTTGTTGTTACTTGATTATAGAATAACAGGCTATAGCCTTTTATGTATAATATTCATAATAAAAAAGGGAAAAACAAACTTGTACAGATTAGTTTAAGTAATTTAAATTCAGCATTATTAAAAAAATAATATGAGCCGCGTCACGACAAAACCAACATAATGAGTTTGCGACCAGCATGGATCCAGACCAGCCTGCGCATCCGCGCAGTCTGATCAGGATCCACGCTGCGCGCTTACAGACCCTATAACAAGTAAAGAAACTGATAGTGAACAGCGGATGCGCACGCTGGTCTGGATCCATGCTGGTCGCAAACCCATTATGTTGGTTTTGTCGTGACACGGCTCAATTATCATTTATCTCTAACAGAGAGCAAATTGTAAAAGTCAACAATGATAAATTTGAAAGCTTACCGGTTATATCAGGCCTGCCACAGGGCTCAATCTTAGGTCCTATACTGTTTCTTTTATATGTGAATGATATATCAGTCACTACGAATTCAGACATTGATATGTATGCAGACGATTCAACATTACACATAGCTAACCAAAGTTTGAGTAATATACAGTCTGAGTTGCAACTAGACTTACTAAAAATACAGGAATGGTGCACTCTCAATAATATGGCCATAAATCCAGAAAAGACCACGTGCATGATAATTGGATCAAAATGTAAAATAAATAACATAGGCAATCTTTCTCTGCATATTGAGAATTCGAGTATAAATAATGTTCATTGTCAAAAGCTACTTGGATTGCATATTGATAACTGTCTATCTTGGAAAACACATATTGACAAAACGTGTTCTAAGCTTGCTTCTAAAATATCTCTGCTGAAAAGAATTCAAATATTTCTTACACCTGAAATGAAACAATTATTTTATAACGCTTGTAACATTGCCCCTACTTTTGATTATGGATGTATTATTTGGCCCCAATGTAACAAATCAGATCTAAATAGAATAACAAAATTACAAAAAAGAACCGCCAGAATTATTCTAAATAAACCCGTAAAAACAAATTCTCTTGATATGTTTCAAAATATGAAATGGTTATCTTTTCCATCTAGATGTAAATACTTTTCTGGAATTATGGTATACAAAGCGATGAATGAATTAACGCCAGCATATATTTCTAATCTAATTCCGTTATCTCAAAATAAAACTTACTTACTAAGATCAACACATAAAAAAGATATTATGCATAAACGACCTAAAACAATTTATTTGAAACGTACTTTTTATTATTCTAGTATGGAGTTATGGAACAATATTCCTTTAAAAATAAGAAATCTTTCAAGTCTTAAATTGTTTAAATCACATTTCAAACATTTATTATTATCTAGAGATGAATTATAGAAAATTTACCTATACTATAATATAATATTATGTCTGTCTTCTTTGTTAATTAAGATTTACTGAATGTTGTAATCTTTACAATTGCTTGAATATGTCCGTTGTTATGTTTATGTTTTATTGAAGGCCTTGTTGAAAATAAGATTTTACATTATATGTGTTGTATGTATTGTCTTAATAAGTTACCTTCGTTAAATAAAAAGTTTATTATTATTATTATTATTATTATTATTATAGGTTTTAAGAGGGTCCGCATATCTTAGAAGTGAGTCGTAAACTAACGTGTTTGCATGATTGTCTCCCTTGTCGTGGAAAATCAAAACAGAAATCGATATTTGTAAACATTTTAAGGATTTAAACTGTATATTGCACGTGTGCTTGTTTGTTTTTATGTTCTTAGATAAAGATTTTAAAAATAAAATCAGATGTGGTATGTACAATTTCTAAAAATGTAACATTTTGTTATATTTTCACGAACACCTGGATTGCTGGTTGAGACAGTCAAACAATGTTTTTGTTCGTATTATTGTCAAATTATGAATTTATAATATAACATTATGTACTGTCATTCTTCAGAACACATTGAACTGTATGTTTTGTTATAAGAGAGGAACAAAAATAAATGCATTGGTATTGTGAAAATCAAGAACTTTACATTTTTCGGACAAACGATTTTCGGATAAAATTTGATAACTTTTAAGCTTTGATATATCAGTGTTTTTTCACTTTTGGGGAAGGGGGTCGGTGCCTTTGGAGGGGGAAAATGCAGTAGGAGGGGGAATTTTATTTGTTTATTTATTTTATATTGTTTTCTTTTCGGTAGAACACAAGTTTAAAATATATTGCTTTTTCTTAATATTATACTCAGGGTTGTCATTAACATTTTTTGCAGAAGGTTTGTTTTGAACTTGAGGCGGTCATTTCTGTCTTTATCATGCATAACAAAGAGTGTTTTCTTAATTTTGAGGCGGCCCATAATGCATTTGAGACAGGCATTTTGGCCTCCTGCCACCTCTTAATGACAACCCTGATACTGATCTAAAATATCTGTGTCGCATGTCACACTTGTTGGGGCACCGGGAGTGGCTCCCCTTACCTACCCGAGAATGATTTGTAAACCTTGCTCAACAGTTAGTGTTACAGGCATAAAATAAAACTTTCGAATCAGGGTCAGCTCCGCCCTAAAACGTATTCGGCCCTCGAGTCAACTCGGCACCGGTCAACTCGGCCAATAATTTTATATTACTGGTTATGATTACTTTTATTACTCTTGATATGTTTTCATCATAACTTTCATGGTTTAACATTTTCACAGTAACAGACCTCTACTCAAGGATATTGAAAAGTTTTATTGATGAAAGTATCAATTTGTATGTGAATTTGTAGAGAAAGAAAGAATTTACAATTTATATGCATGTTTTGCTACTCCAGATTTTTTGTAAAAAAATATCGTTTAAACAGCATTGGTCGTATTAAAAAACAAACAGTATCAAATACAATTACATTATTGTCACAAAAATTCAATATAAAAACTCTATTTATTGATCAATATTTACGTAAAATATATTGTCTTGATATCTCTTTTTAACAAAGATAATTTCAAACAATACGTACAGGTACACTGCCAACTTTTTCAATTTCTGTTTGTAAGTGATCATACTTCTGAATAACTTTATAGTAATTTTCTCCTTAAATTTTTTATTAACTTAACAATCTAAACAATCTATATCTTAATATATGTTTTTAATAGAGCCTTAGAGGGCCGAGTTGACCTGTGCCGAGTTTACCCATGCCAAGTTGGTATAGGGCCGAGTTGACCCTTTACCAAAACTTTAGGCAGTTAGTTGCAAAAAAAATGATATTCGTTGCAGACAAATTCATGCTGCCGTATAGGGTGAAATTTGGGCTTTGAGAGGGGAAAAAAACATAATATTTTGAGGGGGGGAATGGGGCCAAATTTCGTCGAATATTTTGGTGGAAAAAAACTCTGATGTAATCATACATAATACCTAAATCTATATGAATGTCTGAAAGACTAAAATTAATTATTTGGTTTCTTTATATTGTAGGGTGACACAAGCCTAATGAAAGATAGGATTTTATAAAATATGGCATGGAATCTAACAGATGATACTTATTTACGAATTCCAACGAACAATCCAACTTCTAGTCACAAGTACACTCTCAGTGCAAACAAAGAAACACATGTAGCTTCAAATATACTCTCTAGACTGAAGAAATTACGCGACGAGGATGTTCTTTGTAACCTGAAACTCCATGTCAATGGTGCCCAGTTTAATGTCCATAAAGTTATTGTGGCTGCATGGAGTACAAAATTGGCTAGTTTACTGATTGCTCAAGATGACTCTGTGTCAGATCTTCTGATACAGTTTGAGCATAATCAAGCTTTTTCAGAATGTTTAGATTATATGTATACAGGGCACTGCTCGCCAAATGAAACGAATGTATTTCCACTGCTTGAGCTCGGTAGAAGTCTGCTGGTAGATGGATTAGTCAAAGTATGTGAAACTTACCTTCAGAAATCTGTTAGCTTGCAGGACTTTATAACAAAGTACTTTATGAGTTTGAAGTATGGTCTTAAAGTTTTGGAAGAGATTGTTGTGGATTTTATTGAAACTAATGTTGCAACTGTTATAGAGCAAATCGATCTGTTGAATTTGCAGCCACCAGATTTCCGAACCTTTTTAACCTCAGGAAAAATGGCACATGTTAAGCAAGAAGTGAAATTCTCTCTCATTATAAGCTGGGTTGGCTTTAATATTCCTGAGAGGGACAAATACCTCTTGTATTTATTTGATCTTGTGAATTGGAGGCACTCTGTAAATGACTTACTTATTCAGATAAGTTGTACGCAGAACATTTTCACGACAAATGAGTTTTGTCTCTTTCAACTACTTCACAGTCTAGTCACGGCCATAGGCCATCATCTTGGTCCATTTATCACTGCATATCCTCGTTTGTACTCTGTATATTCACACATGCTTGAAGATCTCACATGCCCAAGCGCTTTCCTCGCGGTGGGTCAGTATCACCAGGAACTGGCACCAATCACTATTAGTGAGGTAATCAATAAACCTGAAAGACTGATTCCAAAGGAAACTAAAGACATGGCTGTAAATACTGATTTTGAATTTGACCTCTCAGCTTTTCAGTCTTCAGTAGTTTCGCCGGAGGATAATGAAGTAACTGCAGATGTGTGCTGTAAATTAGATGATCTGAAAGAAACAGTTGATATTATACCAACAGTGGAACCTTCTGAAGCAGTTGTTGGAGAAGTCGCAGTTGATTCTGCGGCAATAGAAAATTCAGTGTTAAGTGTTAAACATCGGAGAAAAAGTCTTCCGAGAAAGTTACCTCGTAGAAACGGAAATAAGGAAGTGAAAGAAAAGAAAAAGAAATCAAAGAAAGTGATTGTGAAAGAGATTGATGTAATTAAAGGTGAAAAACAGGATGGTAAAGTTAACGGTGTTGATGAAGTGGATAAAAGTGAAGAGGCGGCTAGCACTGAAGAAAAAGAGGAGAATACAGTGAACTCTATTTTAACAAAAAACACAGCTGACACTAGCAAAGATGTATCAAAAAATGTAAAATCAGATGTTGATAATAAAAATGTAAGTTGTGAAGTGGATAAAACTGATGTAAGGAAAACCAGACTTAAAATCACAATTAAGAAAAAGGGTATCTTGAAAAAGACAATAGGGTCAAAAAGTCGTATTAAGGCAAACAGGCCTAAAAATGCGCCTGTTCCAAAAGAGCCTAGAAAACTGTCAGAATCTGGAGCACAAAGGGTGCATTGTACGTATGAGAACTGTGAGTTTACAGCAAAAGCTGCAGATGTATTGGAGAGACACGTTGAGCGTGTGCACATGATAAACGTCAACTTGCAATGTTGGAAATGTGACTTTTCTGCTCGTGAAATGAGAGATCTTTGCCAGCATTTGAAAGACCACTTTCCGAAGGCGCCGTATATTTGTGACGTCGAGCCGTGCTCGACAAGGTTTCTGCGTCTAGGTCTGTTTGTTCGTCATCACATGTCGCATATGAAACAGAAGCCATACCAATGTGATTTCTGCATGAAGTCCTTCGCCACATACAATCAACTCAGCTGTCATAAAAAATTGCATGAAGGTAGTGTTCCTTTGCTTTATCAGATACATAAGTAACTTAAAGAGAAGTTTATACTGTGTACATCATGGGGTTGTTGTGATGTTGTGCACTTATTCCTGATAACTTACCTTATTTCGGTAATAAATCAGTAATGATATTTTTTAATTTATCGTGAAAGAAGAAACAAATTTTTTAAATGTGTACAGTCTTAAGCATAGGTTAGAACTTAAAAGGTTTATAAAAGCCTTAGTTTTGAAAGCATTATTTAAATCGAAAGTGACAATCTAAAATAAACGACAGTTATTTCAATTTTCATTTATAATTAATTTATATATTTTAGATATATAAATTAATAGAACAAACTACATATACATAAAAATTTGTATTGTTTAAGCATGGCAGCCTTTTCCCTTGACTATAAATACTTTTCGATGTAGCATTTGATCCCGATTCAGTATGATTATAATTTATATATAAGTAGATATATGTAACATGATCATTGAGTAAGTTACAAATTTCCCCTTGTTTATTTTATAGCTCTTTAGATTTTAAAAGCTTCCCAAAATGCTTGAATCTATTAGCACATGTATACAATTTCTGGAGCCCTTTGAATGAAACCAACAATATACATACATGTACATATATTCCATCAACCAGTTTATATTTTATTTATTGAGAAAATGTATGCTAAAAATTCAGTTCTGTAATTAAAAGGTGGTTATTTTAAGCCTTGGTCCCAGGCCAAGTTATTCAGTATAGAGCCAGACCAGCCTGCACATCCATACAGTCTAGCCAAGCTCTCTTCTGTTAGCTGACCATCTCCAAATTTTTGTCTTAATATTCTAAAATTGATAATGAATTATGTGTGAATGACCTAGATAGTGTAAGTGTCAATATGACTTAAAGCAGCACGCCTCAAGATTCATGTTAATTTTCATAAAATATTTTAGAAATGTATTTAAAAGTAAAATTATGTGAGGTAAACAAATAAAGTAATGTGCATATTGTAATCCGCACTTACAATCAACCAAAATTACCAAAAAGTGTTCAAATGCAAAAACAGCCCTTACTGCATTACTAACACAGTAGAAATATGGTGATAAAATACTGCAAAATCAGTCTTAAACCTACATAACATGTAAACTATAGCTTGCATCTTGAATGTTATAACCTTTCTTAAAAGTTTAGTTCTCTGTTCTCAATATTGGTTTTCTTGAAATATTTTGGCTCATCTGGAGGCGTGCAGCTTTAAAACCAATCCAAAACAACAACAAAAATCAGATGGAAGCTGGGTAGGTGGAGCAGTTTAAGAGATAATTCCTAACCTTCCATATCATTTAGATTTTTTTACATCATGACAACATCATTTAAAGCTTTTGATCTAATTTGTTTCTTTCAACTAAAACATGTGTTTCTATGACACACAGGTATATAAACTGTATACGTACAAAACGCAATCTGAAAAGCACTTAAAGTTTTTACACATGTTAATGATGTTTATCTGCTTTTAGGTTGTAACATCAGAAGATGGCTTTATACATGTACATGTTAAAGCATTTTTAACATTTTCTTAAAGTTTAGAATACAAAGTTTACAATTCTGGTTATGCTGTTAAATTAATTAGTTATAAACTTAAATGAAACAATGAGAAGGAATACAAAGAAACATATTCTATGTTTTATGCATTAGTTAGAAATTTTAGTTGTGACTTACATGTTTATTGTTTTTTTGTGCTACATAACAAAATTAATGTATATAATTACAAAATGTACATTAATTTGCTATGATATGCATGAATAATGTTTAATTCACATAAATAAGATACAAAACATAAATTTGCACCTTTAAGGCTATATAGATAAAAATGATTTTTATATAAGTGAAAATTTTGAACCTTGAACCCTTAAACTGCTGGAACCTGTAGGGATTAATCTTGAGTCATACCAACCTGCACATCCGTGTAGTCTAGGGAGGCTCAATACTACATGTATTTGTAGCTAAATTTTAGTATTTGTTATTGAAAGCTCCAAAAAGTAAATACATCATTTACATGTAATGATGTTTGCTCTGTTTCAAATTCAATACAGGGGAAATCCATTACACAAAGTGACTAGGTTAAGGTCTGAAAACATTTTTGTATGTACAAACTAATAAAAACATGTATGTTGCTTACTGAAGGTCAGCTTGTGTGAAGTCTTTATTTAATGATTTATCGTTATTAATATTTGTATCAACGAATTATTGAATGAATATGTAGATAGATAATTTAGAAAATTACTTATTGTTATGTTTGAATAGATGAATAATTGCACACATTTTGTACATCATTCACACATATTCTTCAGGTCGCCAGTTTGAGTGTGATGTTTGTTTTAAAAAGTTTGGAACAAAGGGAGTAATGCAGCAGCATAGAGCTATACACTTTGACAACAAACCGTACCTGTGTGACTTGTGTGGCTTCTCTACCAAACACCAGTCTCATCTGATATCTCATAGGAAAATACACACAGGTATCATATACATGTATCTATATAGATATATAATTAACATATGATCTGTATCAAACAGCCCTCTTAATTGTAGTTAAAGCTCCCCTTTCCATTTTAAAGCTTTTCCTACCATTTTAAAGCCCCACTTTCCATTTTAAAGCTCCTCTTCCAAGTCCCCTACCCATTTTAAAGCTCCCCTGTCAATTTTAAAGCTCCCCTGTCAATTTTAAAGCTCCTCTTCCCATTATAAAGCTCACCTACCAATTTTAAAGCTCCCCTTTCCATTTTAGAGCTTCCCTTTCCATTATACAGCTCCCCTACCAATTTTAAAGCTCCCTTTTCCATTTAAGAGCTTCCCTTCCAATTATAATGCTCCCCTACCCATTTTAAAGCTCCCCTTCCCGTTTAAAAGCTCCCTTTGTCAATTTTAAAGCTCCTCTCCCCATTATAAAGCGCACCTACTAATTTTAAAGCTCCCCTTTCCATTTTAGAGCTTCCCTTTCCATTATAAAGCTCCCAAACCAATTTTAAAACTCCCTTTTGTTTTCCATTTTAAAGCTTCCCATCCCATTATAAAGCTCCCCTTTCAATTTTAAGCTCCCCTTTTCAGGTTAGAGCTCTCCTTTCCATTTTAGAGCTTCCCTTTCCATTGTTAAGCTCCCCAACCCATTTTAAAACTCCCCTTTCCATTTTAGAGCTTCCCTTTCCATTTTCAAGCTCCCCAACCCATTTTAAAACTACCTTTTCCGTAATATATATGTCGATTGGGCAATTTGGCGCACACAAAAAGGTTAAATGTGCTAAAAGGAACAACAATATATATTCAGAATTAACTAGAAAATCAATTTCTTTTGCAATTATTAGCGAGGTTTAAGTGAAAAAGAGTTAAAACATATTCATGTTTTCTGTCATTTTGCACAACAAAGATGATTGTTCTGTAATAACAAAGTGATTGAATGATCAGAAATTTTGCACACAATTTATTGGTCCACAAATCTGGAAAAAAATTATTTCCAATCTGGTCATGATAAAAAAACCTAAGTAAATTACCTGTAATTGGCCTTTAATTATAATGATTTATGTATTTCAGGAGATGTGAAGCGATGTACATTCCCGAATTGTAACTACTCGACACCAAAATCAGCTCACATGACACAGCACATGAACTCTCATCTCAACATACGTAATCATATATGTCAGGTAAATGGAAAATTCTACTTGTAGACACTGAAACTCCCAAAGCACTCTTTTTGTGTGATAAAACATTAAAATAAAAGGTAAATTTAGGACTTATTATTTAGGATTTCTTATGAATAATAAGAATGTTTCATATATTTGAATGTTTTATTCTTACAGGTTTGTGGAAAGTCATTTGTTGTCAGGGGTAAACTGTTACGACATGAGAGGATTCATCTTAAGGAAAAACTATTTAAATGTAAGCAGTGCGAGTATCAGACGTCAAGGACAGACCGTATGAAACTTCACATAGAAAGCCACGGCATCAAACTTAAGAAGAAAAGTAAAAACAACATGGCATCCGGTTACGACTACGACAGTGAACCGGACATTGATTTCCATCAGTTATACGAGAAAGTTCACCACGAGGGCGAAGATCAAGGATTACCAACACAGGTGTCAGTGCCGTCTGCTGGCCAGATATCGAATATGCCGTTTTTGTCAATGTCGGAAATTAAGCCGATGGATGTGATAAGTTTTGCAGCGTCATCGTCCATGATAATGGATAATTATAATTCAGCTCGTTTATCTATAGATCCGTTAAGTACGGTAGCGGCTGTGGCTAGTATAGATGATATTCAAGGAACGTCGGCATTTCAGCAGAGTTTTGACCGTCTGCAGACGACTGCATTTGATCAACTATGAGAAACAACAGTGTTTAAATCAACCATAGAAAAATGTTTTACTATGTAAAATAATCAGAATTTGATCACCTCTAAATCTTTTTTTTTACAGTTACTTATTTTTTAGTAATATTGAGTAAAATCTAGGTCAAGGTCATGGATAAATGTCACTTACATATGTACTAGAATCATGTCATGCATTCTTTACATAATATCTAATGACAAATTTGTTAAGTTTTTGTAGTGTTTTGTGCTGTTTTTATACATTTATTTTGATACTTACAGTCATGTATTTTACTCCTATCATACTTAAATTGTATAATAGATTTGTTCTGTTTTTGTCTTTTAAACAGCATTTCTGTTATGGCATAGAGAGTGGATTTGACCTGTTTTGTTGGTGGAATAGTCAATTTTTACTATAAGTGATTTTGTATGAAAAAATAGATTTATCCTGTTTTGTCTTTGGAGCAATTTATTTTTGTTACTGCAAAGCCATAAGGATTTTATCTGTAAAAAATTGGATTTGACCTGTTTTGGTATTTGGAACAGCTATACACAGTACATGATTACTGTAAAGGATTTTTATATTGAAGATGCTAAAACATGAAACAGCTGATTGTTCATTGACTTGGTTATACAAATTAAATATATAAATGGAATCATGATAAAAAGGGAGAATAGGTACAATGTACACACATGTACATATTAAGGTGAATGGGTTCATATAGTTACTTTAACAAACTATTTATACTTTGTTACTTGTGTTTCTTTTATCATGCAGTAAATGTAGCTTTGTTAATGTTCAAATTATTATTGCATTTCACTAGTTTTAATATTTTTTTTTGAAAAACTTATTATTATTTTTATGTATTGTTTTTGTTGGTAGATGAATTTTTCCTTACCAGGCTTAAAGTCAAAATTTGCTTAAAGCTGATTTTTTTACATCTCCCAAAGGCTTACCTGACAAAAAAATCAGCTATGTCATTTATTACAGTTTTTGACTCATTTTGCATTTTCATTTACTGTTTTTATGTTATGTATCTAGAGTTGTTTTGTTGTTTTGTTAAGATTATTGTTTTGCAGCATTGTACATGTAATAAGCTCGTCGCACTGTTGACGTCATGCTTTGCTACTTTAACCAGTCATTTCAAGATAAAGCTGTTGTGTGACCAAAACATACTTTTATAATTTTTACGAAAATATTTTTTTCTATGTTTATTATTTTCCTTTTTTACAAAAAGTGTAATAAATAAGTGAGAGAAAAAAACTGAAGTGATAGAGAATACATTGAAAAGTGAAAAAAAAAACCAACTAGATACCTGGATTTGTAATGGAAAAATTTGCTTGTGATTACAGGAGCTTTCTGTACTGATCAAGGGAAGTAACTACTGTGGGGTGTTAAATCTTGTTATCGTAAGTCATGTATGTGCAAACTTACAATGTATCCACAAAATATATAATATGAATGAGCAGAAGAGGCAAATTAGCATTAATAGACTGAATTTCTTTTAAAGGAACCCCACTGAGGTCTAATAGCTTAAAATCCTAAAATTTGAAATTCTTTCATAAATCAAATGGAAAACTATGTAATAGATGAAATGTAAATATACTGCGTATTAAATTGATTATTTACTATTAATGTCATATTTGTGTGTCATATTTGTGTCCATATGAGTGAAAAGCGTTGCAACACTTTTCAATTTGGGTCAACTTGCGCTTGAGGCGAAAAATTGATTTTTCTGTGTATCAAGTAGACATAGTTTGGCTATGTGGTTTTGTTAAAAGAGGCATAGGGTCTCAACATCAGTTCATTTGACAGCTTTTTTTAGAGATATAATTATAACATATAATTTTTTTAATCAGTTTCTTTAACTTCTTTTGTTGTTGTGACTTTAATGTTAGATATGAATTGAATGTTTTGTTGATTGATTTGTATATATGTTATTTCGGCTGTAATTATTTTATTCCTGTATATTTATTTATTTATTTGATATAAAATGTTGTTTTCTATGTTAACGTTTTTATCTTGTGAAACTTGTCTTCCTCCACCACTAATGCTTGAGTGACTTTGCCATATCACCTAAATTATGCCAGTATGACTGAAAACAAAACAAATAATATATAATCAGTTCAATGAAAACAAACGCTTACCGAACGTCGGTGGTTCTACTCAGGTGCTCGTTCGTGCCTGAAATAATGCACGGAAGGGCACCTGAGGTCTTCCACCACCAGTAAAGCTGGAACGTCGCGATATGACCTATACTGTGTCGATGTGACTTAAAACCCAAAACAAACAAACACTTTAGCATTCGATGTTTAGTCTTCTTTAGAATTTTTTTTTTTCAAAACTCTAACAAAGAAATAGTATGATAAAAAAAGGCTTATCTATCTTTTCAATTTGCAGAATAAAATTTAATTTTATGACATCAGTGACCTTACAGAACTGTTTATGTCAGTATTTGGCTTCATACTTTATTCTTTGAATGGAAATGGTAGCGAATGGCCGAGTGGTTAACACGCTGTATTACTTATCCTAGTATTCCTTAGGCTAGCTGCATTGGCTCAGACCCAAGCTGGGGCAAGCCACTGTTTCCTTGAGCAAGAAACAATACACTCTTTCTTCAGTACTTGTTGGTTCCAGGAAGGGGTTTGAGTGTGTGTTTATAAGCTTATAGCTTCCTAAACAATCTAAACAATCAAACTAAAATAAATTCTGTATAAACTAAATGCTGATAATGTTTTGTCAGAGTGACCAGTATAGGGACTGACCAGCCTGCACTTGTTTTGTCCTCATTATTTGCTCCAATTTTGAAAAGTCCCATTATCAATTTTGGAGAGTTCAAAATGAAAAAAAAACGGAGTTGGTTTGCCTACAGTATAGAGCCTAGTCAGACTGTATGGATGTGCAGGCTGGCCTGGCTCTATACTGGTGAGAAATAAATTTTTTCTGGTTCCAGCAAGTTAATGGTTGGTAAAATATATAAGTAATTTCACACTGTTACCCCTTTGACATACTGCATGCACTGTTCTTGAATTTAAAGCAATACAGGATCAGTACACACATTCAGCAAGGCTAGTATTACAAATGCTTTTCAGTTTGGCTAGTTTTGCTATTGTATTAATTTTGATATTTTTTTAGCTCACCTGTCACAAAGTGACAGGGTGAGCTTTTGTGATCGCTTTTCGTCCGGCGTCTGTCCGTCCGGCGTCCGTCCGTCCGTCCGTAAACTTTTACTTTAAATGACATCTCCTCATAAACCACTAAGCCAATTTCATCCAAACTTCACAGGAATGTTCCTTTGGTGGTCACCTTTAAAAATTGTTCAAAGAATTTAATTCCATGCAGAACTCTGGTTGCCATGGCAACCGAAAGAAAAAACTTTAAATATCTTCTTTTAAAAAACCCAAAGAGCTAGAGCTTAGATATTTGGCATGAAACATCTTCTAGTGAGTGTCTACCAAGTTTGTTCAAATAAAAGCCCTGGGGTCAAAATTGGCCCCGCCCCGGGGGGTCATTGATTTTCCCTATATGCATATAGTAAAAACTTAAAAAATCTTCTTTTAAAGAACCCAAAGAGCTAGAGCTAAGATATTTAGCATGAAACATGTTCTAATGGGTGTCTACCAAGTTTGTTCAAATAAAAGCCCTGGGGTGAAAATTGGCCCCGCCCCGGGGGTCATTGATTTTCCCTATATGCATATAGTAAAAACTTAAAAAATCTTCTTTTAAAGAACTCAAAGAGCTAGAGCTTAGATATTTGTCATGAAACATCTTCTAGTGAGTGTCTACCAAGTTTGTTCAAATAAAAGCCCTGGGGTCAAAATTGGCCCCGCCCCGGGGGGTCATTGATTTTCCCTATATGCATATAGTAAAAACTTAAAAAATCTTCTTTTAAAGAACCCAAAGAGCTAGAGCTAAGATATTTAGCATGAAACATGTTCTAATGGGTGTCTACCAAGTTTGTTCAAATAAAAGCCCAGGGGTGAAAATTGGCCCCGCCCCGGGGGTCATTGATTTTCCCTATATGCATATAGTAAAAACTTAAAAATCTTCTTTTAAAGAACTCAAAGAGCTAGAGCTTAGATATTTGGCATGAAACATCTTCTAGTGTGTGTCTACCAAGTTTGTTCAAATAAAAGCCCTGGGGTCAAAATTGGCCCCGCCCCGGGGGGTCATTGATTTTCCCTATATGCATATAGTAAAAACTTAAAAAATCTTCTTTTAAAGAACCCAAAGAGCTAGAGCTAAGATATTTAGCATGAAACATGTTCTAATGGGTGTCTACCAAGTTTGTTCAAATAAAAGCCCTGGGGTGAAAATTGGCCCCGCCCCGGGGGGGTCATTGATTTTCCCTATATGCATATAGTAAAAACTTAAAAAATCTTCTTTTAAAGAACTCAAAGAGCTATGACTAAGATATTTAGCATCAAACATGTTCTAATAGGTGTCTACCAAGTTTGTTCAAATACAAGCCAAGGGGTCAAAATTGGCCCCGCCCCGGGGGTCATTGATTTTCTTTATATGTGTTTAGCAAAAACTTAAAATCTTCTTTGAAAAAACCCAAATAGCTAGAGTTTAGATATTAAGCATGAAACATCTTCTCTGCAACATTGGGGGGGGGGGTGGGGGTTGGGGGGGGGGGCCTATATACAGGTGAGCGACCTCAGGGCCATCATGGCCCTCTTGTCCTATTTATTATTTTGTTCTGTAAAAACATTATAGCTCCACTTATGATTAATTTATAACACAGAAAATAAGATCCACTTGTGGCTTATGAGGTTGCCTTTGAGAGTTGAGGCATCAGAATTGCAGCTAATGTTTATCCCTGCGTAATCTTAAAAGGGCGATCTTAAGAGAGTACTAAATGGGTTTGCACTACTGGAGTCTATGCATCTCTTAACTCCAGCAGGTGAGGTGGTTTTGACCCATGGTGTTGCTTTAACACCCAAGGTTAGCCAAAATCATCTTTCCTGTTTTGGTGCCATATGACCTATATTGTGTTACTGTGCCATAAAAAGCAAACAAACAAACAGAAAATAAGAAGAGAATTAATGTATATGGTTGAAATTTGATTTATTTGTACATTTGTCCCAACAACTGGGCATAAATTTAATTTGTTGGTAGACAGTAATTTACTCAATAAATGCCAAGTTTTATTATTATTATTTTTTTGTATTCATAATGGTTTATTTCGTACCCCTTCTTTATATATCAAGGTTTGACTGCAAAACTATTGTAAGTTCTTCTTAATTTCATATAAGTTACCACAGTTTTGCGGTCAACCCTGGATACGAGTATTTCTTCAGCGGTTGTTGAATGTTTAGGATGAATGATAATGAATTTCTCTTTGCGGACAAGAAATAACGTGAAGATAGTGCATGTTTATTTTTATTTGGAATTAATTTAATACTAAATCATGTGACCAAATTTGTTTCTACTGATTGCTTTTTCATATAGACCTTTTGTATGTTACGATATTTTATAGACCTTTTGTAGGATATGATATTTCCATAGTACTTATGTTGCATTTTGCATGGTCAATGGGTCACGTGGATTTCTGATTATTTTTGTATAGTAAGATATAAAATAGAACATAATTATAGCAAAATGTAAAGTTATTTTGATTTTTACCTTGTTTACTCACCATTTACACTTGGATGGACATAATAACACTTGAATTATTGCTCTTTACAAATTGTTGTTGAAAATACAGGATCAGTCAACAAAACTAGAAAATGAACTTTTTTTACACATTGCAAACAGCACATAAAATCTACCTAAATTACCAAAAAAGAGGTCAAAATAGGCAAAAATAGCCCTTCCTGCGTTAGTCATGTATTAGATATACATGTATAGTGATAAATATTGCAAAATCAGTCTTTAAATGCAAATTATTACATGTAATTAAGTCTTTTTACTTTCCTTAAAGTCTTAATACATTTCTCTCAAGTTTGATTTTCTTGAAATATTTTGGGTCATCTGAAGACAGGCAGCTTTAAGATAAAGGCTAAAAAAATTAAGTTATATAACTTGTACATTAAGTGAATTTTAGAAAATATTAATTCAAATTATTGTAAACAAGAATAATCCATTTGGTATTTAGGCTTTGCATTTTTATATTATGAATATTCAATGTCAATATTTATTTTAAATGGAATTCATTTATAGTGTGTTATGCGAAAGTCTATGTATATAAGAGCAGTGAAATTTCATGTTAGATATACATGTATATAAAAAAGGTAATTTTGACCTTCTTGTTTGGTGTTATGGTCAGTTTTGAATAAATGCAATATTGTTATCTTTATATGTTGCAGAGTAAAATATTGTGATAAACCCAATGTGTTTTGTTGTCTTTCATGTTTCATAGTACCTCAAGGAGGTGTCACGGGAATTGGCTTGAAGTGCTTTTAAGTATCATTGACTCTAAATACTACAGTATGTAATTGAAATGAAACATAAAAAAGGCTTTTTGGTTATTTAAAACCAGTTTAGCCAATATCCGAATTCCAATAAAATTCAATATCAAAATTCCTGTGAAATTCAATATCCAAATTCCTGTGAAATTCAATATCCTAAATTTCCAGTGAAATTCAATATCCAAATTCCAGTATAATTACATATCAGAATTCCAATGAAATTCAATATTCAAAGTCCAGTAAAATTAAATATCCAAATTTCAGTGAAATTCAATATCCAAATCCCAGTAAAATTCAATATGCAAATTCCAGTGAATTTCAATAAAAAATTCCAATAAAATTCAATATCCAAATTTCTGTGAAATTCAATATCCAAATTCCTGTAAAAATCAATATCCATTTTCCATTGAAATTCAATATCCAAATTTCAGTGAAATTCAATATCCAAATTCCAGTGAAATTCAATATCCAATTTCCTGTGAAATTCAATATCCAAATTCCTGTGAAATTCAATATCCAAATTCCAGTAAAATTATATATCCGAATTCCAATGAAATTCAATATCCAAATTCCAGTGAAATTCAATATCCAAATTTCAGTGAAATTTAATATCCAAATTCTAGTAAGTTTCAATATCCAAATTCCAGTAAAATTCATTATGTAAATTCCTGTCAAATTCAATATTCAAATTCCAGTGAAATTCAATATCCAAATTTAAGTGAAATTCAATATCCAAATTCCAGTAAAATTCAATATCCAAATTCCAGTAAAATTTAATATTCAAATTCCAGTGAAATTCAATATCCAAATTCCAGTGAAATTCAATATCCAAATTCCTGTAAAATTCAATATCTAAATTCCAGTGAAATTCAATATCCAAATTCCTGTAAAATTCAATATCTAAATCTAGTGAAATTCAATATCCAAATTCCAGATATCTGGTAAACGGGTGATCCCTTAGAAACATTAAATAGTTAATATAAAAAATAGAAAAATATAAAATTAAAATTGGAGACTCGGTTTGATTGAATCTGTTCAAACAGTGCAACATCTCGTATGCCCCCTAGCACCGGCAAAATCTGTATCAATATTCAACACTTTTGATTGTAAAGTCTTTTCACAATTTAATACAATGCGTTCTGAGGGAACGAAAATAATAATGAAAGCAAGCGCTTTACAGCACTTTGAGCCAGCCTGTATTGTTCTACAATTCGATGTGTTTTTGTTCTTAAGCTTTTTAACCAATTTTTGAAACACAAAGGGCTGAATGGATATTTTCAGACAAGTCATTTTGCATCGGTCGCTAAATTAGTGTTTTATCTTATATAAATGAGCCGTGTCACGACAAAACCAACATAATGGGTTTGCGACCAGCATGGATCCAGACCAGCCTGCGCATCCGCGCAGTCTGATCAGGATCCATGCTGTTCGCTATTAGTTTCTTTACTTGTTTTAGGGTCTGTAAGCGAACAGCATGGATCCTGATCAGACTGCGCAAACTGGTCTGGATCCATGCTGGTCGCAAACCCATTATGTTGGTTTTGTCGTGACGCGGCTCAAATGTTTGTTTCTGAGTATTTGTATTGTGAGTTTAAAAAATACTAGAATCTGTACCAATACTTGATGCATAATATAAAAAATCCCACATAACTATTTTTCATCAAAATCATCGTGAGGCCATGTATGTTTTAACATGGAAAAAATCGATTTTGATTAATTCCAAGATTTTTCATAATTTTCCATGAGGTGCCATTTTTTTTTTAATAACTAATATAATAGTAAAACAACAGCAAAAACAGCAACACTTATTTGCATAAATTTAACAACAACATTATAGCAATATATAGGCATAAAATAATGTAAACAGTGGCACAAGTTCAAATACAAAAAAAAGATAAAATAAATGTAAGCACGAAAGCATAAGGATGAACATAATTCCTGTTTCTATAGCAAAATGATAATGTTATTAGCTTAAGTTTTGTTTATGCTAACGTAGTAAAAGAATATTGTACGGGTATACATTTTGTAATAGTATATGTCACGTGACACTAATGATCTCGTAGAAAATGCTAGAATAGTTGAAAAGTGAAAAAGCACTTTCTTGATATTGTTCGCAGCGGTGTAGAGACACAGTTTATTCTCTTTACCCGACAACAGAAAAAAATACTTACAAAATGAAAATTTCGAGAAGAGAACAGGCAAAAGCGATTACCTTTTATATAATTATCTGGATCTTTTTCACTGGATTTGGCATGATGTCGACAAACGTGGCACACTGGAAAAAGTTTAATTTTGACGAAGAATCCGTAGAGCCAGGCTGCCCTGCAGAAAATGCACGGTTCATCAAAGGCGGCGTTCCTGATCAAGTGACATGCGGAAGGCTTTGTTTTGGACATGCTGCTTGTGAGTCCGTCCTCTTCCGACAAGAAGATCATCTTTGCATTGGATGTCAATATTTTAATAGATATCTCCCTTCGAACGCACAGATGGGATTTGTACATTATTCTACCAGAAGTATGTGAATTTTGATTAGTTTTTTTATTTTTATCAAATTACATTTTATTGTTGGTTTTTCTCCTACACACAAATATAACGGTGTCCAATAATGTTAATATTTATATAAAAGAAGCAAAAGTTTGGAACCACGAGTTCTTACACTATCAATAAACGGTTCATCCCTGAATATCGAACAAAAAAGTGTTGAATAATTGTAAATGGTATGTGGTCCAAAGAAGAAAATAAAAGTTCAGTTTGAAGGGAATATTACCACAAGGACTTGGCAAAAAGTACTTAAATCTTATAGCAAGTCTACCTTATATATAAATTGAGCCGCGTCACGACATAACCAACATAATGGGTTTGCGACAAGCATGGATCCAGACCAGCCTGCGCATCCGTGCAGTCTGATCAGGATCCATGTTGTTCGCTTACCAACCCTATTACAAGTAGAGAAACTGATAGCGAACAGCATGGATCCTATCAGACTGCGCGGAAACGCATGCTGGTCTGGGTCCATGCTGGTCGCAAACCCATTATGTTGGTTATGTCATGACGCGGCTCAATTAGTAAAGAAAAGTAATTTGGAGATAATTACCTAATGGAGAATTAATGAATTTTTTTTCTTTGTAAAAAAATAAATTTCTTAATCGGAGAAAGTTCCTTTTCCAAAAAATAGTGTTTTTTTCTCTCTCTAAAACTGTATAACTTTTTTCTTCATTTTTTTCTAATACATGTTATAGTTGATATCGTATTTTTCGTTGTTGAAGCGTTCTTTAAAATTGATAAAAGGGTTATTGATATAAAATTTATATTAACATGGGGTTAACTGGTACTTAATAACCTATTAATGTTTTTGATTGAGACGTTATTCATATTTTATCGGTGTTTACGTTTACATAATATATTTTTATAAATTATTTTCATTACAAAATTATGCCCCTTAGAAAAAAGTCAAGTCATGTCAAACAAACAAACAAACAAACAAACAAACAAACAAACAAACAAACAAACAAACAAACAAACAAACAAACAAACAAACAAACAAATAAATAAACAAACAAACAAACAAACAAACAAACAAACAAACAAACAAACAAACAAACAATAAATAAATAAATAAATAAATAAATAAATAAATAAATAAATAAATAAATAATTAAATAAATAAGATAAAATTATATACAATATTAATATGTTATACATGTAACAAAATAATAATGAAAAAAAAATAGAAGAAAAATAATAAATAAATAAATAAATCAGTGAGTGAGTGAGTGAGTGAGTGAATGAGTGAGTGAATGAGTGAGTGAGTGAGTGAATGGATGGATGAATGAATGAATGAATGAATGAATGAATGAATGAATGAATGAATGAATGAATGAATGAATGAATGAATGAATGAATGAATGAATGAATGAATGAATGAATGAATGAATGAATGAAATGTAAGCAAATAAATAAATGATGAATAAATAAATAAATAGAACCAAATTTATTTTTTAGAACACGAGGTCGATTGCTTGGACATATTGAAACAAAATGTTATTGCAGAAAATAATTAATGTGGGATTTACTGGTACACATAAAAACGATAAAATAGATAGATAGATAAATAAATAAATAAATAAATAAATAAATAAATAAATAAATAAATAAATAAATAAATAAATAAATAAATAAATAAATAAATGAAAACAAATTTATTTTTAGAAATCGAGGTCGATTGCTTGGATATACTGGAGCAAAATGAAACTGCAGAAAGTGGTGTTTATGAGGTCATTTTTCGAGAGTTGGAAACAGTACATGTGTTCTGCGACATGACAACTGAAGGTGGAGGATGGACGGTATACAACTTTTGACAGTTAAATATTTCTTATATCTTCACTGAATATCATCTACATTTATAGTCGTATAATTCTACTTCGAAAAATGTATTCGAATATGTCCGTATGCTTATTTTTGTAGTAAGAGATAAAAACGGGACAGATGATCTACTAGTACTTCGGTAATGCTGCGTATTCTAATAAAGGTGTTTGTCGAATAACCGGGTCGGACTGTACTTATTAATCATGACATATTTACCAAAACGTTCGACCAACATGGGAGTACATTTTGCAGGCTACCTTATACTGTAAGAACCAGATTAAGCAGAACCCACATGATCAATCAGTTACAATCGCAACTTTTCGGCCCTTTCCGTCAGTCTTCGGATAAGGACATTATAGATAATAGCCGAGGCAGTTCCGAATGGAATCAGTTATTGAGAAACGCGTGTATATTTGAGTTTAACTTATAAAGCCACTGGTTGCCCGTATGTTCGAGACCTCCAGAAGAGTATTGGCCATTTTAGATTTTGTAGGATAGTGCATGACTCACACACGAGCCCTCGATTTTAAATCTCATAGACTTTTTTGAAATTTTAGTTGGCTAGCACGGGAATCGAACAACTTCCAATGCATTTGCTGTTATGTGCATTTTTTTGTCAAATTCATAAATATATTGTTTATATAACAGGTATCTTAATTAACTTTTATATTTATTTGCATGACAATAAAGGTGTTTCAAAACAGATTTAATGGTAGTGTCAACTTTACGAAAACTTTTTTTGACTACGAAAACGGATTTGGTGACCTAAATGGCGAATTCTGGCTTGGTAAGTTTATTAAACAGTCCGGTAAAAAATATTAATATGTAATATTGACTTTATAATTTTTATTGTCTGCCAATGATGGCGATATTTGCAGCCATATACTTGTAACATGCTTTCATAATCACACGTTCTGTCCCGTATCTTTGGACATTAATTACACAAAGTTATCACCCTTTATTATATGAACTAAAATCCAAAACTTTCATTTTCATTGTGTATTTCTAAAACCTAATAATGTTTTTGGTTGTGACTTGCTTCATATTTTATCGGTGTTTGCGTTTACACACTATATATTTTATTAGCTATTTCCATTACAAATTTCTGCCCTTAGAAATTTATAGCAAATATCCTCGTAAATGATTTTTGTAACAAATGCATAAGAACCTATATACAGTTTAAGTGAAGTCAAACAAACAAAAAAAACAACAATAAATAAAATTAATTATAAAATAAAAAATAATTATGAAAAAAAAAAAAAGATGAACATAAAAGGAGCTCCATTAGCACTGCTTCTTATGTGCTTATGTTAGACACTTATTTTGCAGGACTTAAATTTGTCCAGGAAACTTACTAAAAAGCCAAGTTTCTTGAGAATGGAAATTTATACTGGATAACTGGCATAGGATGTCCGCTTTGATTAGTCACTTTAAACTCGTTGGCTCACAGTACACCCTAATGGAACCAAATTTACCAGGATCTTTCATAGACGAATGTAAAATATATAAATACAATACGAGGGGTTTCCTTTCTGTCGAAACGTGTTTTACTCGTGAGGGGGTGTGGTCCTAAAGAGGGTCTCGGTTATGAGACAAGATATTTGGTAGTCTCAACTGAATTTATAGGTGCTTTGTCAATATATTGACAGGCAATGCTAGCTTAAAAAACTTGCCGAGTCCCTTACACCATTTGATGCAGGTCTATGGTATTCATACTTATGGTGGCTGATTTGAGTCAATTGCGACTCCGCCAAATTTAAAAGTTAAAATGGCGGGGTCGCTGGGCGAAAACACGAATGACACAAATCAGCCACCATAGAAACTTTCAGATTATTTGCTCCTTATCATTTGCATTGTGAAAAATGATCTAAAGTTTAAGGAGTTTATAAAGGCTTTTGCCTCAAATCGGTTTAAGAATCTCTGTAAAAAATCGATGTTTTAATTTAATTCTGAGCATGTCCTTATCATCAAAGCGCCCTATTTGATGTAAGTAAATTTTTAAATTTTATGCTTTAAGACGTAATTAATTGCTACAGAGGAATTCCTTTGATTTTGATTGACTGATACAATTTAATTTCGTTTCTAGCTGTCGGGCAACTTCACTACGATTGACAGGGATTCAGCGATACCTTGCGTCAGTGAGTACGGTGGGGGTTGGTGGTATCCGGACAATAGACCTGTGATCTATATCTCAACATGAATGGCATGTACGGAAAAACGGCTGGAAAAAATGGAGAAATATTGACAAAGTCCATCATGATGTTTAAGAGAATGTAAATAACAAGGACTTTTAAAGCCGATTTACCAAAGAAAATGTGTTACAATTCATTTCAAAAACTTCTAAACCCTAACCAATACTAAAGATTTTTTTTCAAATTGTTATTAAAGTGTTATGTGTGTACAATAAAGCTAGTTGGAGGGAATAGGTATGAAACATTATGTTTAAAACATTTAAAATCAATCAATCAGATAAACTGTCAACAAAAACGTTATTGGTCGGTTGTAAGCAATTGATCTGTAGATCACCATTTGAATATTACATAAGCTTTTAAGAGTCAGTTATTGATGTCTTTCATCCTGTTTTTCAAAGACTTCCGGGAATATCAATCGGCCGTTAATGAGACTTCCGGAATGATAAAACGGTCATTATTGAATACCTACATTATGACAAACGTACACCTACAAAGTTACATACCACACAAACTATGTTAAAAAGACTTTTTGTTACAATGGGTTAAAGAATGGAATAGAATACCATCAAATATCCGTTCTTCTAATTCTCTAACATCTTTTAAAACAAGTATAATCAAAGCACAGAAGGCGCTGAATTTGTTTGGGTCTCAGAATGTAAGAAAGTTGCAGGTTGTGAGATTATATGTATAGTGCCACAAATGCTTTCCAGCGTTTTAATTGTAGTAAATTGGCTATAAGACTAATTTCAACACTGATATTCAATCCAATGTTTATTTGACTTTAACAATTTGAAAAAAAAAATGAGTTACCTTTACTGGGATTTGAACTCCAGACCTCTCGCTTCCTAAGCGAGCCCGAAAACCCTTCAGCCACGGTGAATTTATATGTGAACAGCCTGAAGAAAACCATATTATTCTAAATTAGGGCTTGTAACGACTTTAACTGTTGTTTAACACAGATGTAAATAATCCTGGAGCTTACTATAAGCATGTATATTTATAAAGAATCAAAGGGCTGCAAGTTCTGTGGTATTTTCTGATCCGTGCAATCTAAATCGTACTGTATATCTGTATGCATTTTCCTGTATAAGTTTATTTTTATGTATTATAATTCATTTTGCAAGGCACCAGAGTTTGATACATACGGAATTCTGCATAACTAGAGTTGCATCAAAAAATCATTTATGTTCATTTTTTTACGACAGCCACACTTTATCCTTGCATATCATGGCTACTTCCTTAACAAAGACACTTAAAAAAGAATTTAACAAAAAAAAAAAGTTTCCTCGACTCGGATTCGAACTCAAGACCTCTCACTCTCTAAGCGAGGGCATTACCACTATACCACGGATAAGTTATACACACGAAGTCTGAATAACATCAAGTCATTCTAAATTTAAAACTTCCATTGCATTTCGGTTTTGTAATCCTTATTAATTTCGAGGTATTTTGTTCAGGATAAACCTGTTGTTTAAAATTGAAGTAACTATTTTAGCGAAATTCTTCTCGCCCAAACAGTCCGACATGTAGAATCTATATATTCCACTACTCGGTTTGTGTAGTATTCGGTAATCCACATCGCTAAAAATAGTATTTTCATTGATAAAATCATATTCATCCGCGTAATTTGTGATTGTGCATTTATTATTATAAGCCAACGCTATTGTTTAACTTTGAATGCGTTGTAATTTGTTGGATACTTGTAACAAAATAAAATATTTCTTTCTTTTAAATCGCTAGTTTTTAGCTGTTTTGAGAACTACTTATTGTTAGGTTTGTCGTAAACTTCTGTGTCAGAGATTGAATGTCCGCCTTGTATTTACTTATTTTCGATCAGAAAATACAATAAAACAATATTAGAAATCTTCGACCATTCGGAAATCACTTTGCTTGAAAATTAACGCGCCTGTCTTTGACCATCTTTACGCAGTGATCTCCCCTGAATTTTTCGGCGTTAGTGTACATACAAAAGGGAAGTAACCGCCTCAAGAAGTGGACTACTTTCGGCATTTGCAATTAACAACATTAGACTCTGAAATTTCGCTACCATTATTTGTTTGGTCTGACGACCCAAACAAATAAAAACATATCTTGCAGATCAAATAAATAGATTCTTAACTCGGTCATTATGTTATAATACTTATTATGCATGTATATTTGTTAAATTATTTGTAAATGAAAATGGTATGAATGATATTTAATATCTAAAAAGAGCTGTCTATCAAAATGTCAAAGATCTTAATAAAATAGTTGTTGTTTTATGATGTTTTGTGTTTCTATATATTGTTTAGAAGGCCACATTTAAAATAAAGATATGTTATTTGTTTTCTACGATGGTATATCTTCATGTGTTACCTTCTAAAAATAAAGATATTATTAAAATTATTATTATTAAATAATAATAATAATAATTATTATTATTATTATTACTACTATATTATTATTATTATTATTATCATTATTAAATGTCGCATTCGCTGCTAAATGTCGCAAACGCTTCTGTCGTTAAATGTCGCTATGTCGCCACGATTTTCCCTTGTCGTTAAATGTCGCAACACTACCGTAGTATATTCACAAGGTTAGCTTTTAAAAAAGCTTGTAGCGACTCGCTTCGTAATTTTTTTCCAGGGGTGTGTCTAAATGTAAAAATGACAGTTCTGTTAGCTGAAGAGCCTTCAGCGAACATCAAAATAAAAGTGACATATAAGATTATGGAAGCCAGTTCTCTCAGTTTAACAAAGAGGAATATGAGTATATATGAAGATGCATGTAAACAGATAGAATGAAGTCCCTATGTCTATGCACATTTACTATATGGTCTGTTGACCTTGACCAAAAAAATGTTAGATAGGTAGAATTCATAAAGAGGTCTCTTTATACGAAGTTAAGTTGTAATATGTTACTGGCGTCCGCGCCGAAGCGCTGCGCCTATTATGGAATGAGAAAGAGCGACAGCAACTTCTCGAGCCTTTTATAGTTGTTCATAATAAAAGCCGATCATTCCGATCGGTATGAGGGTCGCGATATGAACAATGAATGGCGAACTGGAGAATTTCGCAATGTAAACATTTTCAAATGAAATAACCTTTTCCGTCAATAAATCGAGCTCTTCGGGGTATTTTTGTTTAACATTTTGTAGTACACAGTGGGTTATTATGGTATGTTATTCCGAAAGCTGTTAATAGAATGATGAGTTGATGACCTAAATATTCCGAAAATCTATTTATAGAGGGATGTACTCCTATCGGTAATTCCCGGTCTCTCCCGGGATTTACTAGTGACCGGCGAATAGTACTACACGTTTATTGTCCGGTGTCTCCAGGTTTTGGAGTAGATGTTTGATATCGTTACAGAACAGAAAAAATATTTTACAGATAAATAAGCTTTTTTTCAAAATGAATGTTTGTCACTTAGTTTGGTTGCAATAATTAATAATAAACACAGATCAACTCTCAAATTTATTGATTATTATTACACATAAACATACAATTCGAAAAAAAACAAAAAAAAAAAAAAAAAACAACACAAATCGCATGTTTTATTTTATCTATATGAGATAAAAACAATAAATATGTACAATAATTGAGAAAAATGT